TTTGGTGGTTCCTATTTCTGTTACTTGGGTTTTCCCCAGGCGCGAGAAGACTGGCAGAGTAGGGGTAAGTCCCAGAGCAGGGCCTACAACTTTGAAGGAAACTCCAAACCCCACCAGCATTTCCCTTCTCCTGCAGTGGGGAGGAAATGGGGAGGGGCTAAGTGGCCTGGGGGTGCAGAGCAGGAAGGAGAAGGGAACCTCTGTGGGCAGAGCTACCTCCCTCTCCTGTGGCTTCACTGGGGCCAACAGGGATCAGGTAGGGAGTAAGGAAACTTTGCTGGCAGGACTGGGCCCTTGCTCACATGGAACCCACCAAACAGGCAATCTGCCTGGCCTCCAATTTGCAGTAAGATAGTGCAGCTATGCTGGAGGAACATCAGATCCACGCCTTTTGGCTTCTTCCTATTATGGGTTTTTATTACCAGGCTTCTTGCTGGTTCCCTCTGACTTAGGAATCAGTCCCAGAGTTGCTTTCAGTTTGAGTTCATCTTCCCCTTCTTCTCCTGTTTGGTATTGTGACTGTTTGGATTGTGACTTGTCTCCTCTACTCCATCTTCCTTTCCTAACTCCAAGGATGGTACTATTCAAATTACCTACTAGTCTTATATGAAACAGAGGGATCAAAGAAGGAGTAAAAGATTACTCTGTAGCCAGAGTGTTGAAACAATTGCTGAAGGAGAGATGAGCAGAGATAGATAAGCCAGAAGCAAGAAGACAGGTCCCTAGATGTCAGACTTTGTACAGATTTTTGGGGAAGAAGTAGAGAAATGTGTCAACACCCACAGTGTTCCAGACACATACAGACATATGTTGTTTATCATTTGACCCTCATAAAGCCCTGTGAAGTAGTGAGATTATCTCCAATTTATGGATAAATTCACTGAGGTTCCATAGTTATTTTGGGCCCTCTGGCTCCATATTCAGTGCCCTGTCCTCTCCAACACAGCTACTGCCTTCCTTGTTTAGTGAGGCTCTCACTGAGGAGTTAAGAAGAACTTCACAAATGGTAGAGAAACAAGTCTTTGACTGAGACCAGAACCATGTCAGGACACTGGAGCCCTGCCATCATGCATATTATCAGGTGGAGTAGGAGCCTTGGTTCCTTGTCTGGCAGGAAAAAAACTGTCCTGGTCCTGCTGCGTTGGCTGGTAGCTCCCCCCAAAGTTGGTAACCCGCTTCTTTTGAGAATCCTGAAGGTTGGGGATTACCCCCTACCCATCTTCTTCTCATCATACTTTAGTCCTCCCTGAAGAAGTAGAGAAGGCTGGGGCCACTGTCCAGAAAGTGCCACCAAAGTTCTAAGACAAAAGGATGTGGGCATATAGTCAGGGCTGTTTCCTGCTTCTGCCACCTGTTTTCAACTCCAGGAGTCCATTTTTCTGAGACACTAAAGTTTGACTAAGTCCCTGATTTGTCTCTTCTATGTTTTCAGATTAGGGTTTCCAAAGGGTATGATTTTGTCCATTCTTGAAGCCCAGAGAGGATCAAGCATTTCATCACCAGTTCACCTGGTGAGGAAGTGTGATGCTGTGGCAACTGACAGTGTTGGCCATGATAGGAAGCTGGCATAGACAGGACATGAGTGAGGTCTGCCATAGTAGCAACAGGCTACCCCTCCCTCTCCCAACAGCTTCTGTCAGGGGAGACAACAGCAAACTATTTCCATGGCACATTCTTGGGAGAAGCAGTCAGATGACATTGATGTGCTTAGGATATGTACAGCCAGGACCAGCCCTAGTGACTGTGTCTACTCAGTTCTGTCTTGTGTTCTGCTAGTAGAATCCTGGCCCCCAGGTAGGCTTAGAGACCAGCTCTGGGCCTGCCTTAGACCTTTGGGTTCCCTATTTGTTAAGGTTTCCTGCTCCTGTCCTGTTATCTAAACAAACATATTGAGATTGGCCCTTAGCAAAGCAGTTCCAAGGAGAACGTGGACTTCGCATTTGCCCCTCCTGCTGTTAACTGCACAGGCTGTGGGGAGGACTGTTAGCCCCTTTCCTGTGGATGTTAAGGCAGAGTGGTGGGGAGAGGTGCCATGAGGTAGTCTTCTCCCCTTCTTTCCTCCTCTTGCCTTCTACACTTCTCTTCCACTTGTAAAATCCAACCAGAGACCTCAACCCTGCTTCCTTTTTTGAGGCATAGTGACCCTGTTTCTATCTAGTATCCCAAAGCTATCTAGAGCCTCTTTCCTCGTGGTTCCTCTACCCTCCAGAACTGAACTAAGGACCTTGCCACGTGCTCTGCACTGAGCTAACTCCTCTACCCCTACCTGGTGCCTCTTAACCCTCAACTTACCCTCAACTTATCTTCAGCTTACCCTCCACTAGGTGCATGCCAGCATGAGAGTCTATAAAAATAGACTAATCATATGTGAGATAAGTACAAGATAAATAGATAGTATGGTAAATAAGTGATATTTAAGGATCTCCTCTCAATCCCTTAGAAAATGGAGGACCTCCTTCCAGTATTCTGCTTCTGGAATAATGCAGGGCCTATGTGACTTCTCCAACCCTAGCACACATAATTCATGTCCCCAGGGATGAGGATGTCAAGGAGTAGGTAGAGGTAAACCAAGTGGTCATGCTTGGATTACCAGGGAGTGGGAACTGGACACAGAGCAGTAGGCAGAGGAGACAGATGAGAGGTTGGCTCTCCAGGAGGCTCGGGAGAGACTAGATCCTTGAAAAGTCATGTGGCTTTTCAGATGGCTATGGCACTTCAAATGAGGGATCATATTTGATTTAGGTCTGTGGGCAAGGTGCAATGATCTGAGCAAAGTGTCAGACTGCTTAAGAGGCATGGGTGGGACCTGGCCCAGGTAGCCCTACTGATGAGAGAGGAGAAGTGTGTGCAGGGAATGCGGGAGGGGAAAGGAGGCTGGCCTCTCTCACACATACTTTACTCAGTCTGTTCATTTAGCAAATAGTAATGTAATAAAATAAAATGATTCCTAGGCTCTCCTTCAGTATTCTACATTAGAGTATCTCAAAGAGGGTTCTTGATAGTGCTCTGTGGTGTGTGTGTGTGTGTGTGTGTGTGTGTGTGTGTGTGCGCGCGCGCGCTCATGTTACTACAGATTGAACCCAGGAGCATTTTGCCTCAGAACTATATCCCCAGCCCTTTGTTAATTTTTATTCTGAAACAAGGTCTTGCTAAGTTGCTGAGGCTGTCCTCAAATTTGTGATCCTCTTGCCTCAGCCTCCTGAGTCACTGGGATTATAGTTATATCTGGCTACTGCTGTGTCTTAATTGGAAGAGGTGTCATAAAAATACTACTAATACACAATTATGTAGTTTATGCAGATATCTCTATGTTGACAAATTGTTCTCTAGCTTCTCTATTTGGCTAGATTTTAATGACTCATTTTAACATTTGCTATGTTATCTATTAGTGAAATTAAATTATGATTGATACAATTTCTGAAGAACTTCTGAGATTTGGTTTTAAATTTAACTTTACTGCTTTTGTTTCATAATTGACTATCAAACTGTTTTACCCCTAAATTTTTATTTTAAAAAGCCTTCAAAAATAATCCCGGGCTGGGGATGTGGCTCAAGCGGTAGCATGCTCGCCTGGCATGCGTACGGCCCGGGTTCGATCCTCAGCACCACATACCAACAAAGATGTTGTGTCCGCCAACTAAAAAATAAATATTAAAAAATTCTCTCTCTCTCTCTCTCTCTCTCTCCCCCCTCTCTCACTCTCTCTTACAAAAAAAGGAAAAAAAAATAATCCCATGCTGTTTAATAAGTACAGCCATTTATTATTAGATTAAAAAAAAAGAATACTACTAATACTACTAATACTTGAAGTTCTAAACTTTTGTAAAAATGTTTCTAAAAATATTTGAGCAGTTTACTTTGCACATATGTTCTTCTCATTCACTTGCATCCTGATCCTGATTCAGGGAAAAGAGGTAAAGTGGATATATATATATATATATATATATATAATAGATAGATAGTCTCTGGGTGACTCAGAGAACTTGCCTGTGCAAGTGTGTGATATAGGAAAGTTATCCATCTTGCAGGTGGAAAACCAAATTGAAAGTTGTTGCTTTAAATTGATTGCTTTCAAAGTTTTTTTTTCTTTAAAAAAGTTTTTTTAGTTGTTGATGGACCTTTATTTTATTCATTTATTTATATGTAGTGCTGAGAATTGAACCTAGTGTGTGAGGCACACTAGTAGAGCACTACTGAACCAGAACCCCAGCCAGCTTTCAAAATTTTGACCTGTTTCATGTTAAGTACATTTTACAGCATGACCTATGTGCCTGTGACACATATATACATGAAATATATGAAATGGAAGCATCATGAAACATTGCTTATGCTTCCTTTGCAATAAGTCCTGTTTTCTTCTATCCTATTCCAAATTAAAAAAAATTTTTAGTTGTAGATGGACACAACACCTTTATTTTATATATATATATATATGTTGTAGTTGGACACAATACCTTTATTTCATTTATTTTTATGTGGTGCTGAGGATTGAACCCAATGCCTCGTACATGGTAGGTGAGCGCTCTACCACTAAGCCAGAACCCCAGCCCCATTCTAATTTTTCTCTTTTTTTTCAGTATTGAGGATTGAATCTAGGGGTACTCTACCACTGAGCTGCATTCCAAGCCCTTTTTATTTTCTTTTGAGATGGAGTCTGTTAAATTGCCCAGTCTTGAATTTGTGATCCTCCTGTCTTAGCCACCTGAGTAGCTGGGATTATAGTTATGTACCACCCCACCTGGCTCTGTTCTATTTAAATCTGTTCATTTTAATGGGAATAAAGTTAATATTGATTCAATAAATTGGTTCCACAACCTGTTTTAGAAAACCTTGCTCAGCCAAACTCAACTAATAACAATGGGAAGGCAGGAGGACTGTCTCTCCCTTCAGCAACAGTCATGATGAAGTCTGATGGCATAGGAGGGCAAGGTATGGCAGTCTAGCCTTTCTGTCCTCCAATGGGGGAGGTTTCGGCCTGTTGACTCAGCTTTTCTCCTCAGAGCTCCATGAACCTGCCTCCTGACAAGGCCCGGCTCCTGCGGCAGTATGACAATGAGAAGAAATGGGATCTGATCTGTGACCAGGTACAGGTTGGGAACAGCAGGGAGGTGGGGAGTTGCACAGGGCTGGACAAGGCGATAGGTAGCAAGGTCAAAGGCATCATCTGCAGCACTGACCAGGGCTTGGCCTTAGTCTATGCTGATTTTCTGTTCTAAGGAGACACAGCTGATAGGCCAGTCTCCCACACAGGGCTCTCCTAATTTCTCCCAATGGACAGTGGTGTCAAAGTATGTAGGGCTAGCTGTGGAGCAGGTTGTTAGTTTTACCAGCAGAGCCTGTTTCTGCCTTTCCCAAGGGTCAGGGTTCTGCCTGGTAGGGTATCCCAGAAGACCCTTTATCTCCCTCTGCTCCAGACTTTACAAATAGCAGGGAGTATCTCAGTATATACAGACCTCTAGGAATGAGGCACCTCAGTCCTCCAGTGTTCTGTTCCCAAATCTGAAAATAGTCGAGGACTGCAGCTATCTCTATATGAATAGTGTTTAGAGCTGGAAGAAAAGAGAGATCATTGTTTTGCTCAGAACCAAGGTTTTCTAACATCTACCACTTGACTCTTTACCCTGCACATATTTAAGGTCCCAAGTCTTTGAACTCAGCCTGACTGCAAGGCTGAGAGAGCTGACTTCTTTATCTCTTGGTATATATCAAAGTAACTGGCACAGAGTGTGGGCAGTGTGTTTATGTGTTTACCTGGCACCTTGCCATGGAGTTTTCTCACCAACAAATTTATTATTTCTTTTCAAGCTCTGAACAAAATCATAATTACTAATGTTTTTTGAATGCTGATTGTGTTATCACATTCTCTACACATATTAAACAGTCTCATTGCATTCTCACAAAAACATGTTAAGGAAGGCACTAGTTGCATTTTATAGATAAAGAATCCAAGGGTTTATAACCTGCCTAATGCTAGGAAGTGGTGGAGGCAGGACTGGGCTAGGGCAAGCAGGTGCCAAGTCTTTGCTACCTATTCTCTTCCACTGCCTCTCAAGTCATGCTGCTTGACCTGAGCTAGAATTATGATACAGATGCCCCAGTTCAAGCTCCTCCTCCTCCTCCTCCTCCTCCAATGAGTCTGGTTTCCTTGCTTTCTGCATTTAAGAAGAGTTGGTTAGCACCTGCTTGGGTTTGGGAGCACAACAGCTCTTAATACTGAGATTCTCTAATTGCTGATTTCTCAGTCTTTTTCTTTTTTTGTGGGAGCTACTGGGGTGCTTTACCACTGAGCTTCATCCCTAGTCCTTTTTTAAAAAGTATTTTTTAAAATTGTAGGTAGACACAATACCTTTATTTTTTATTTATTCATATGTGGTGCTGAGGATTGAACCCAGCACCTCACACACACTAGGCAGGCATTCTGCCACTGAGCTACAACCCTAGTCCCCATCCCCAGTCCTTTTTATTTTAAGACAGGGTCTCATTAAGTTGCTAAGGGTCTTACTAAGTTGCTGAGGCTGGCCTTGACCTTGAAATCCTCCTGCTTCAGCCTCCTGGATCTCTGGGATTACAGGCGTGCACACGCACACACACACACGCACGCACGCACGCACGCTCAAGATCATGTGATTATTTCAGCTTTCTCAGATTTTTCTTTCCTTTTTTTCCCCCTTTCATTTGTTTTCAAGAATGCTTTTCTAACATTACATCATTCACCTGGACCCCTCTGGCCCTTCCACCCCAAGTTCATTTATCTCAGTTGTGGAGTTCCTTTACAAACCAGAATGCTAAATTGTTTTCTGAATTTCCTATTGGGTCAAATGAGCTGGTTGAGTCAAAGTAGGGAGGGCATAGTTCTGTGCCCTGTGTAGAGGGGATTGAGAAGTGATCTTGCTGAGGAACAACCTTCAGCATTTGAGGTTGTTTTGGATCACTGGGGCCCGGGGCTTGGGCAAGTAGTAAAAAGTGCATTTGTAGCCCCGAACTGTTGCAAAACCAATCCAGTCCCAACTGCAGAGTTTGGAGCTGTGAAAGCTGAGTTTTGCAAGGCCAAGCTCTTCTCCCCTTGGCCTACCTAACGTCACCCATGAGTTGGCCAGGCAGAGAACAGCACTTCTCAGCTGTATCTTTATTTTGTGTATTATTCCCAGTTCTGAAACCCCACAGACTAAAGAAGATTGCAACAGGTGTGATAAGGCAAAGAACCCCAACCATGATATAGGCAATGCTAAGGACAGGTGCCAACTGGGAGACTGAGTCTCCCCAGGTTGAGCATTGTAGGCACTCTCCTTCCTTAGTTTCCTTGTTTTATCCTGTGATTCTGTGCATGCACATAATTATACATATGTACATTTTTCTTATAGGAACGATTCCAGGTGAAAAATCCTCCCCATACTTATATCCAGAAACTCCAGAGCTTCTTGGACCCCAGTGTAACTCGGAAGGTGAAGTATTTAGACAGTGGGGCCCTGTCTTGTTGCCCTTCATAGCTCTGTGGGGTTTGGACTCAAACCCTTTGCCATGGGGGTTAGGACATCTTCTGAGCAATGGGAGGTGGATTTCTGGGCTCTGAGGCTAGGGGCCTGGACTAGCTGCCCAGTACTGGAGGGGAGGTCTATAATTGGACCCTTGTACCCCCTCCATTTCCTTTTCTGCCCTTTTTCTTGTACTGTAAGTTGGATGGGGGGACTTTAGTGACAGAAGATTCCATGTTTACAGAAGTTCAGGAGGAGAGTGCAAGAGTCGACCAAAGTACTAAGGGAACTAGAGATTTCACTTCGTACCAACCACATTGGGTAAGTCAGATTTGGCCATCCCGGCCTTTCCACCTGGTCCCAGGTGTTGCCTACCACACCGAGGATGATTTGCTTATTTATTTTCCTGCCATAGGACAAAGTAGCCTCTTGAATGGTTCTTTGCTCCCCAGAGCATTACACTGTGCCTTTCTGGCTTTTYTTCCCTTCAGCTCTGCCAGCAGCTGATTGGATGCTTCTGGCAAGCATGGGGCCTCTCCTGGGTCCTCAGTCTGTGGCTTTGAGTGGAAGACATTCCCACAACAGCTGAGAATGGAGTCTGCCTGTGGCCTGGTGCTGGGCCAAGGAGGGCCCAGAGAAGTCTGAGGGTGGGGGAAACATACTCCAGTGAGTAGCTGAGACCTAGTTCTTATTCAGCAACTCTTTGCACTTTTTAGCACCCAGAAGGTTATTTGCTTAGTTGGGTGAAAACAGTCTTAGTTCGTGAGGAGAGGAAGCTTCCTTAAAGCACCAGGAAAGAAGATGTACAGTAGTGCAGCCAGGAGTTGAATGTTTCCTGTATTCACAGAGCCTGTGTTGCCAACCCATTGAGAGGGCCCTCAGGATCTGTGTGAGTCTTTCTTTGCAGCCTCTGAGTCAGGTAACCAGAACTGCTGAACAGGCAGAGGGCTAATTCAGGGAGGTACAGTGAAAGAGGGAAATGCCTCAGTTTTATGAAACTGTCACCAGCAAGGGTATATGCAGCAAAAAGCAGAAAATGTGTGTGTACATGCAGAGAGGATAGTTAGGGACACCTTATATAGAGCTGGAAGCAGGGGTTCCCTCCTGATAGAGGGGTCTTGCATGAATGGTGAGTGAGAAGTGGAGCTTAGGGTAGGATGGGATAGCTAGGCATGTGCCAGCCCCAGGTCCCTGAGCTTCCCGAGAATGGGGTGGAAAGAGCCAAATAACATCATCAGCCTTTCCTCTCCTGTCATAGCAGCAGCCTGCTTGTCCACCATGAGGCCAAGCCTGCCTGGGGCTCTTCAGCAGGAGGGGACACCTGTTTGTAGCTAGCTGCAGCAGTGCTCAAAAGGAAGCGGCACAGGAGAGAACAGGAAAGGGATGGTTCCTGGCCTTGGAAACTGTGCTGTGGGGGCCAAAATATGGCTTCCATACCTCATCTGTGAGCCTGACATGCAAAGCCAAGCCACTGCAAAATGTGTGGCCAAGCCTTCACCTATGGTGAATTCTATCACAAAAGGAGCACTAGCTGGGCTCTTTAGTTAACCTGTATATGAGGGTGAGAGTGACATGGGCAACGTACCACCAGCCACCTACATTACTTGAATAGGCTTTCTCTCCCTTGTGGGCTCTGTTGTTTTCCTTAAATCCTGTTGAACAGTCAGGGCAAAGATAGGGTTCTACTCCTTTTGGAAGAAGGCCAGAGAACAATGTATGACAGTCTCCTCTGTCTTCCTCCTTTACCTGGTGCCTGCCCTCTGGCATCTGGCCAAGGACTAGGGCCAGAGCAGCCTGGTTCCTAGGCCCTAGGCCACTTGGCAGTTAGCATACAAGTTAGAGGTCTAAACCTGGTCCTTGGTTCCCAGAGAATAGCTTAGTGCTTGCATTTTAGGAGCCCTGAATCTGACCTGAGGCTTCTCTAGGTAGTTATGTAGGAGAGCCAGGATCCTTCCTGGCAGGAAGTTTGTCAGGCTGGCTTGTGGGGGCTACAAGGTAAGAGGGGGCCAGACAAGGTAAGGAGAGGAGAGTTCTGCTTTGGCCTCAGCCTGATCTGGTTGGGCTTGCAGAAGCATGTATGCAGTCCTGCAGATGGGAACTCAGTCTTTGGAGTTGGGGACAGCTCTGAAGTGGGATTCCAGAGCCCCATCACCTCCTTCTTCCTCTCTGGTTTGTATTGGTTTCTTTGCCTTGCCTAACTGCCCTTTAACCTCTTCTTAAAGTGTCAAGATCCCTAAAATAGCAGTGTAGACWCAGACAGGAAATGAGAAGGGGGTGGGGAGCTGGAGAGCAGACAGACAGGAAATGGGAGGCCTGTAGGCCCCCAGAGAGGAAGCTAACTTCAGGCAGCTCCGGTGTCAGTCAGCTTCAGCCAGAGACTGCTGCCAAATCTCAGCCAGCACTGGTGTTCTAGCCCCAGCCTCTCTCCAGACCTTGGGGTGTGGCAGGCCAAGCTGGTGTTCCAGCTGTGGGGAAAAAACAGACCTTCAGGGGGTGGGGAAGTTGGGTGCAACTGGTTTATATAGATCCCCTAGACATTCCAAGAGAATAGAGCACTCAGGAGAGCAAGGTTTCATCTGAGGGTTTTATGTCTTTGCAGTAGAATGAACCTATCTTATAACAATCACATTCAGAATTCACTCTTAACTTTCTTCCCAGAGATATCTCAGCCCCAAAGGAGCAAAGGCAGAAGGGCAAAATGCCATAGGACATTGTCCTTTAGGTGCCCTGTTGTGTACCTGCTTGCTTCCCTGGCTGAGGGGTCCACTTTTTCAGTCAGGCTCCAAGTAGTCATGGTATTCTGGAGTTCCTCCAGTTCCTGATCATTTCCTCAGGCATTTCTAGTTACACCAGGCTCACTGTCTAAACACACAAACCATTATCCCTTTGCTCACTGCTTCTCAAAATTGCTATCCTTGAACTCAGAGCCATTTGGCCCAGTGAGACTCTGTTCCAGGGTACTTACTGGCCCTTCCTGCCTGTGTCTTGACTGAGACATCAGCCAAGCTGGGGACTTTCTGGCTCTGTCAAACACAGCTCTACACATGGGCTTGTGGTAGCTGCTCTGGATGCCTCCCCAATTCTTCCAACAAATACTGAGCAAGGACAGTGTGCCTAGCCTTGTGTTAAGCCTAAAAGATACAGAGGATTATTGAGTCAGGGTTCCAGGCTGGTAACATGACCACAAATGGGTCTGTCAGGGGTTTTGGTCTTCAGAATTTTCCCAGCCTGGTGCTAAGTTCTGGGAGAACTGAGGAGGGGGCGTTGTTGAGTCAGAGGCCAATCATCCTCTACTCACTTTTACTCTGTTTCCTGTATTTGCAGGTGGGTCCGGGAGTTTCTGAATGATGAAAACAAAGGCCTGGATGTGCTGGTGGATTACCTGTCCTTTGCCCAGTGTTCTGTCATGTAAGTACCACTCCAAGGCTAAGGGTGGGGACCCATTGGGGAAGACACAGTCCTGTTCTATTGAGAAGAAGAAGGGTGAGATTCCAACAGAGAAGATGGAAATGGGACTCCCAGGACAGGAGGAAGTAGCCCAGAAGTGGTATGGAAGCGGACAGGCAAACCAAGGGCATGTCTTGGGAACAGGGAAGATTGGCCTATTGGCTGGAGTAAATATGTTTTGGGGACTGTAGTGATATGGAAAGGGAACTTGGAATCAACCCAAAGAATCCAAATGCCAGGTTGTAGGCAATCCAGGAAATGTCCTGGCTTGTGGAAGAGAAACTCTGGGGGGATCCATCCATCTCTGCAGAATTAAGTCTTCATAAAGCCACTCTAGGCCCAGTTGTGAATGGGTTACTTCAGGTCATTATTGAACCCAGGAGCAGKGAGCATTACTTTTGATCTGGACAGATGGATGAAGCATTTGGTAACCTTTTTAAGTCAGCCTGGGGACTTGGATGTGGCCACAGGAAACAGTGTGGTATAGTGCAAAGAATGAGGTCTTTCAAATCATACGAAGCCAGGTTTGGCCCTCAGTTGTGTCATGTACTATCTGTGTAACTTCAAGCACGTTTGTCCTCTTCTATGAAAGACATCCATGTTTCAGAGTTGTTAGGATTAGATGGTAATATGTGTAAAACACTTAGTAGTATTTGGAACATATTAGTTCTACATTGTAGTAGCAGCTTTGTTATTAAATGTTATTCACATCAGTATGCCTTACCATAATTATCTGAATATGGAAAGAGGAGTGATACTGATAATAAATGAGATGGCCAGCACATTCAGAGTTATACCCTAGACAAGTCAGCCCCAGAGAGAATGATCATCCTGGTTTGCTAATGACTTTCTGCAGTTTACTGAAAGTAAACTTTCACTGAAAGTCCCATGTCATGGGCTATGATGGCCCCTACCTAGACTTTTACTTTTCTACTGTCTCTGTTCCCCTAGCCATTCTCTTTTGTCCAGTAGGTCTTCAGTGTCATGACCTTAGGGATACAAACTAAGGTGCCTCACCTGGGTTTGGTCTCCATGTCACCAAGAATAGTCCACTCCTCATCTCCATCCCTGCTGAAACCATACCTCATGATCCTCCTATCTCTTTAAATGTGTTTTTTTTTTTTTTATATTTTTTAGTTGTAGATGAACACAATACCTTTATTTATTTATTTTTATGTGGTGCTGAGGATCGAACCCAACGCCTCACGCATGTGTGGCAAGTGCTCCACCACTGAGCTACAACCCCAGCCCCTTTTTTTTTTTTGGTACTGGCAATTAAACCCAGAAGCACCACTTAGGAGCCACATCCCAAGGACTCCCACCCACACGTATTTTTTTTGTGGTTGTTGTTTTTTCTGGAGACATAGTGTCTCACTAAGTTGCTTAGGGCCTCACTCAGTTGCTGAGACTGACCTTGAATTTGTAATCTTCCAGCCTCAGCCTCCCAGGTCTCTGGGATTATAGGCATATGCCACTGTGCCTGGCTTCTAAATGTTCTTTTTATAGAAAGAAATGAAAAACATTTGCTAAAGTGAATTTTTAAATCTTTATAGTAAAAAGATGTAGATCATTTTTCCAAATAAGCCTAGCTTATTTGGAAAGCAAACAAATCCCAGCTGCTTTAAACCAAGAGCACACTGAAAACTTAGTACTGTATTAAGTGTCCATGGAAATACCTTTGATTCTTAAAAAGACTCAGGGAAGTGAGAGAATGTGTTTTGGGAAGGGATGAGGCCAGATAGAATCTGAATAAGGCATAAGCTCTCTCTCTATCAAGGAGGTTCCTCTGAGGTCTACTGAATGGCCCCCCATTAATTACTTCCTGATTCAGGACTCTGATTCTCACTCTACCTCATTTGGGACATTTGGGCATCTATAGATATCATTTGTTCTACAAAGCCCCAGCCTCTGTACCTTTGACCTGGGGCTGTGTGTGTGTGTGGAATGGAATGCTCTGTGGGGGAAGAGCCTGTGAGAGATGTTCCTTATTCCTTCATGACCTACAGGGGAAGAGGGCAGTAAGAATGTGCAGGACTGCTTCTCAAAGCATGTACCTGGATGAGCATGTGTGAACGAAGACCCTGTGGGTCATTGAGCTCAGCTGTCCTGTTTGCCCTGGCTACACTCACAAACTGCTGATGTTGGGAGACATGTGATCCCAGAAGTAGGAAGTGACAAACTGTCCCAGCTGCTGTAGAGGCTAGACTGCAGGTCCTTAGTCCATAATCTCAACCTGCATATTTCTTCCCCCAGGAAAGCTAAAGCTCAAGAAGCCTCTATATCAGAGAAACCTAGAAGCCTCAAGTAGCCAACCTTAGAAAACCTGGTCATTAAAACTAGTGTAGGCACCAAGTTCAGCCAGAGGTAGTTGTTGTGCTCCATTTGTATACAGTGTGTCAAAATGCATTCTACTGTCATGTATAACTAATTAGAACAAAATTAAAAAATTAAAAGAAAAACAATATAGTGTGGGGGCTGGGATGTAGCTCAGCAGTGGAGTGCTTGCCTAGCATTTAAGGCCTTGGGTGGGTTTCATTACCAGCACCTTGGTATGGAGAGAGGGGAAGCCAGCCAGAGCTAGGTTAGGGTAGTGGTGTTCCTTTTAAGCAGAAAAGACTATGCCATTCTGGGTTTGGTGGGACCTCCTTTCCTATCCATTCAGAGCTACTCAATGCATTGGCCAACTAGCAAGACCACAGTTGGCACATTCCCTACCCTCCTTCTGGAGTAAGATTCTCCATGTGGAGCCACAGCTGCTTTGAGATGTCCCATCTAAGGCTGGGAGTGCAAAAAGATAGCAGCCCCCACAGTCCTTGGGCCATGGGGACACCATTCCTCCTGGAGTTGCCTGGCCAGTGGGGAACAGAAGAACTGGCCTCTCAGCATCCCATCTCCTCAGATCCCTCTTCTGGAGCTGCCTGTGCCTATTCTGCCCTGTCCTGTGTTGGTGGCTCTCATGACCAGGACCAGGATTGGGTCTCTGCTTCCCAATTTCGCTTTCTCTTTTTGCTACCCTTGCCTGAAGAGTCCGGGACAGGCTCACTGGGGGGCTTGGCACAGAATTTCTCCTGTGTATGTGCCTGTGTGTGCGTATGTGTGTCCTTTCATGCTCCAGGTTTGACTTTGAGGGTCTGGAGAGTGGTGATGATGGTGCATTTGACAAACTCCGGTCCTGGAGCAGGTCAATCGAAGACCTGCAACCGCCCAGCGCCCTGTCGGCCCCCTTCACCAACAGCCTCGCTCGCTCTGCGCGCCAGTCTGTGCTCCGGTATGTGTGTGCTCGCTCTTCCCGCCTGCCTCCCACCCCAGCCCCAGTCCAGGTCTCAGTAACCGCGGTGAGTGCTCATGCTCCTCCCTTCACTCTTGCTTCCAGGCTCAGCTCTCTTGCCCTCTGCCTGCCAGTCTGTCTCTGGTCTGTCCTCTCTGTCTCCTTGACTCTGCCCAGCGGTCTGTCCTGGGTAAGTACATGGTCCTTAGCTGTGCCACCCACCTGGGGTTCCAGCTCTCCCCCTCCTTCATTCCTCACTCTCTTGGCTATTCCTCCCCAGCCTCTTGGGCAGGGCCTGGGCTTCGGTGGCTGATCTAGCTCTTATACTCATGTATTTTCCTCTAGCTCTCATTCTGCCCATCAGCTGCTGGGAGAGGAGACCAGCTCCCATTCACCTCCCTGCCTCTCACCTTCCCTTCTTCCTTCAGGCCTTATCTCTCAAAGGCTGCTACATGTTCCTTTGTCTATGATGTCCTAAGAGCCATTCTGCCTGAAGGCAGACAGATGTACTGGATGACTTCTCAGAACTCCTATCCCAGGAGGTTGTCCTTTGGACCCTGTAGCCTTTTCCTTGGCCTCTGTCTTGTGGCCATTCTTCTCTCCTACTCTCCTATTTGAGTTTTTTGTCCCTCAAACACTGCTAATCATTCTAATAAATGCAGAAGCAAATTCCATTCCTGCTTCCTCTTTTTTTTTTTTTTTTTAACAAAACATTATTGAGGCAGTGGAGGGGTGATGCAGAGGCAGAAATAGCCCCCTGGCCTTTCTAAAGCCTTTGGGGTTCTGTTCTGCCTTTTGGGGTCACAGAAGTGGAATAAGAACCAAGGTGCTCCTGCCCCACTAAATGTGAAGAACAGACAGCAACTGAAATTGGGGGGGGGGGATCTCTTTGGACTCAACTCAAGGAGTAGGAAGGCCTACACAACTTCTGAGTATATTTTTGAGGATCTCTGGGATTAGCATGATATGAACACTGATTATGGAACTGGGATGTTGGGAAGTTGCTGACAAAGTTCTGTTCTGGGAGGTGAACACAAGCTGACAATCTGCCTTCTGCACCCTTCTTGTGACTGATGGTACAAAGTCCTTTTCCTATTTCTGCTGCTAAGGAGCAGCCTGGTGTTTGGGTGATGGTGAGCACTCTTTGACCTTTCATCAGCAGCCTTAAACCCCACCTGACAGCCTGGCCTTTTCCCCAGGTACAGCACTCTGCCTGGCCGCAGGGCCTTGAAGAACTCCCGCCTGGTAAGCCAAAAAGATGACGTCCACGTCTGTATCCTTTGTCTCAGAGCCATCATGAATTATCAGGTAAGGGGCAGCATTAGCCATGGGTGCTCTACCTCTTCTGCCTCATCTGGTGAACCAGGAGAGCTAACAGGGCACCAGCTTATGAAAGACAGGTTTGCTAGTGGCCTATGGCCAAGGAGATCTGCTGGGTTCTCCCTTCCCCATCAAGGTCCTCTCCATCTTTTTCCTTTTCAGTATGGCTTCAACTTGGTCATGTCCCATCCCCATGCTGTCAATGAGATTGCACTTAGCCTCAACAACAAGAATCCAAGGTAGGTTCTTGCCTTCCCCACTCTTCTCAGGGCTCTAGAGGTCTGGCCTCTACTTGTCCCTGACCAGTCTGYCTATGTCGGAACCTTGGTTTGGGCCTCTCTCCTCTGTTGGGGAAGTGTCCTGGCTGCACAGCTGGTCTGCACAGCTGTGATCCTGGGAACAAACCTTCCTTACCCATCTTCTTCTTCTTCTTTTTTTTTGATACTGGGGATTGAACTTGGGGTATTTAACCACTGAGTCACATTCCCAGTTCTTTTTATTTTTGAGACAGGGTCTCACTAAGTTGCTGAGGCTGGACTTGAACTTGCAATCCTCCTGTTTCAGCTTCCTGAGTTGTTGGGATTACAGGCTTACCCATCTCCTTCCAAAACCCATCACCTCTTTTGCTCTTTTGCTACCAAGGCTGTCTCAGTCCTCCAGAAGGACTCCCCTAGTCAAGAGCATAAGTTGTGTGGTGGTCAGGATGGGGAGATAAGAGAATTAATCTTCCTTTTTCACTCCTTAGGACCAAAGCCCTGGTCTTGGAGCTCTTAGCAGCTGTGTGTTTGGTGCGAGGAGGTCACGAAATCATCCTGGCTGCCTTTGACAATTTCAAAGAGGTCAGTCTCCTGCTTGCATCTGTGTGGAGAAGGTGGGGAACCTGGTATTTATTTAAAGCACCATTTCATGGGATTTCTAGTGATTTTAATGCTTGAGTGTTTGGCTAAGCAGCCTGCTCCCCAGATTAGGAACAGCACAGATTAGGAACAGTGGGCTATAGTGTAATGGTCCTAACCTGGCTTTATCAGATTCACCTTGTTAACACAGCTAGCTCCCTGTGCCCCATTCCAGACCACTGGAGACTGGGCATCTGTAGTTTATGAGAACTGCCAGGCAATTCTGCTGTAGTGAACCAAAGCAGGTATGTTTATTAGGGGAGGAAAGGGATGTCTCTCAGATAGTTGTCCACTGTTAGTGAGGGGAGAGAGCTTCTATGTGGAATGTCCTAAGCCTCTGGGCCTGGTTCTGAAACCCCAATCTGCTTGAATGTAGGATTCCTCGACATTCAGCCATAGTGTGGTCCCACCCCTTCCTCCTCTCTGGACCTCTTCCCTAGCATCCATTGTTTAAGTCAGGAAATAGCTCTTCCTCCTGGAAGCCCAGGGACTCACAGGAGCCTCTGGACCCCCGCCGGCAGAGGACTTTCCTGCACACTGGCTCCTCCTTTGCATTCCCCTGGGACCTTGGCCTCTTGCTTCAGCCATGTCCTGATTCCCTTTCTCCTGTCAGTAACTTGGCAGCATCAGACTTATGTGTTTCTTGTTGGCGTAGCCCCAGAGGCACTTAAAATCCAGCCTAAGGGCACAGGCTTTACTGGTTTCCCTTAGTGAGTTGGTGAGAGACCAGAGACCCAGGGCCAAATTCCAGGTCCCAGGTTTTCTTCAGAAAGTATCCAGAATGGCTCATTTCCTAGATTAGCTGTGGTTAAACTTGGTCTGAACCAATGCCTTTGCCATGATGTTTCTGGGAGCCTCAGCTCAGGGGCTTAGTTTCTGCATGGGGCAGATCTTTTCCCTGAGAAAGTTTGCTCATCCAGGTGTGCAAGGAGCTACACCGCTTTGAGAAGCTGATGGAGTATTTCCGTAATGAGGACAGCAACATTGACTTCATGGTGAGGAACAGCCCAGGGCAGGTGCATGCCAAGCAGGGCCATGTGCTCCTTAGGGAAAGGGACCATGGTGACATTGTATTTTGATATTTTTATTCTTCACTAGGTGGCCTGCATGCAGTTCATCAACATTGTGGTACACTCAGTGGAGGATATGAACTTCCGGGTCCACCTACAGTATGAGTTTACAAAGCTGGGACTGGAGGAGTTCCTTCAGGTGAGCTGGCCAGGTGCTTTGGTATAAAGATCCAGCTTAGAAACATCAGTGTTTCTTTTATAAAAACTTAGTCCTTGATGCCTTTGGAACTTGCCTGTTTTCTCTGGTCTGGGTTTTAGGATATCCTACAGATACCTCTCTAACCAGGCAGCTCTATGAGGGCCAGATACTGACACAGCAAGTAGCAGGAAATCCCTGCATTATAGGCTGTGAGAGGGTGACAAAGACCCAAGAGTTTTTAGGTGGTTCCCCAACTACTACTATTTCTGATTTCTCCCCAGAAGTCAAGGCATACGGAAAGTGAGAAGTTGCAGGTGCAGATTCAGGCATACCTCGACAATGTGTTTGATGTAGGGGGTTTGTTGGAAGATGCTGAGACCAAGAATGTAGCCCTGGAGAAGGTGGAAGAACTAGAAGAGCATGTGTCTCACGTAGGTGGCCTCCTTTGTCTGCCATAACCTTTGTTGAGTGTCAGGGAGGATGGTGATGACTGAGTTTCAAAATCCTGTGTTTACCCACTTGCCTCCAGATTGAGCCTCAGAAAGACTTTAGAATCCACTGAGGCTCTCTAGAATATGCTATGGTGTGAGTCACATGCATTCAGACTGCTGCCATTTGCCTTGTATGTGTTGCTGTTTCATGTGGGGTCAGACCTTGGGCCCTCGGGAGGTGATGTAAAGAAGCCACCTAACCAAGCTGCGTTTGGGGACCTATGGGGTGGGAATGTTGGGCCCAGGTCTTGACTGGGCATTAGGGTGCCTAGGCTTTAGGGCCAGCCCCAAACCTGCCCTTCCCAACCTGCAGCTCACAGAGAAGCTTCTGGACCTGGAGAATGAGAACATGATGAGGGTGGCAGAGCTAGAGAAGCAGCTGCTGCAGCGAGAAAAAGAGCTGGAGAGCATCAAGGTACCAAAAAATCTGGGGAAGGAAAGCCATGGCCACCCCTGGGCTCCAGTGCTTTGGGACCTTGCTCTTCTGAGTTATGTCAAGAAAAGATCTTGATCTACCCTTGAGTTACACAGATGGTGGTGTTCTGATGATTTCACTCTATTTTTTAGTTTGGGAGGGAAGCTGAAACCAAAGTGGGCAAGACATAAGACATACTGGAAAGGGTAGAGGCAGACTGTGCACCCGCAGGTACCCCTGGAGTCCCTTCCAGTCTCCTCCCAACCCATCTTGCTGCTTTTTCCTCCACGTGCTTCTCAACCCTGCTTACAGATCAGGGTTGGAGTAGCTGTTTTTTAGGCCATCCACAAAGTATCCTAAATTAGGAATGCAGAGGCTTCTTATATTTCATTCTCTGCTTTATCCTTCCCCCACTTTTTTGTTAGTTATACAGTCATGCCCCACTGGATGTGGTGGTGCACACCTGTAATCCCAGCAGCTCAGGAGGCTGAGGCAAGAGGATCGCAAGTTCAAAGCTAGCCTCAACAATTTCGAGAGGCCCTAAGTAACTTAGCAAGACCCTGTCTCAAAAAAAAAATAAAAAAAGGGCTGGGAATGTGCTCAGTGGTTAGATTCAATCCTGGTATCAAAATAATAATAATGATATTGTCATCCTGCCCCAACCTTTTTCTTCCCAAGGAATATGATCATGAGCTGAGCCTCTGTTAAGTACCAAATTAGGAATATGGAGGGTTCAGAGATGGCTAAGACAAAGCCTATCCATGAGGCTTCCAACTGTGCAATTACACAGGGCCAAATTTAAATAAAAGCAATAAAGAAGGGCTGAGGTTGTGGCTCAGTGGTAAAGCACTTGCCTGGTGTGTGTAAGGCACTGGGTTCAATCCTCAGCACGCATAAATAAACAAACAAACAAACAAATAAATAAATAATGGAATTTTGTCCATGTACAACTAAAAAAAATATTTGAAAATTWAAAAAAAAAAAAAGGGCAATAAAGAGACCCAAGGGGGCTGGGGGTTGTGATTCAGTGGCAGAGCGTTTACCTAGCATGTGTGAGGCACTGGGTTCAAATCTCAGCACCACATATAAATAAATGAATAAAATAAAGGTCTATCAACATCTTAAAAAAAAAGAGAGACCCCAAGGGCTATGGAGAAAGCAGCTACATCAGACTGGTAGTAGCTAAGGAGAATTTCATAGTAGCATCCTTTATCCTGGGTCCTGAAGGATTGGTGCTGTGAGAACAGTCCTGAACAGAGAGAATGACATTTCATGGTGCCAGCAGAGGGAGGCCAGCCCTTCTACTCACCTCCTTTGCTCTGCTGCACTCTGGCTTCCCTTACTCTCCCATCTAGAATTCTGCCACTCTAAGCACCTCACAAGACCCTTATTTGACTATCCTTTGGGTAGGAAATCTTTCTTACTCCCGGGAGTAATGACTGCTGTGCCTTTAGCCCATCCTTCCCTCAATGACACTCTCTGCCCAATAGGAGACATATGAGAACACAAGCCACCAGGTGCATACCCTGCGGAGGCTCATTAAGGAGAAGGAAGAGGCCTTCCAGCGCCGATGCCACATGGAGCCAAGTGCTCGTGGCTTGGAGCCCATGGGTGTTGAGGCCCTGACCAGAGCAGGCCCTGCAGAGCTGAGCGAGGGCATACCACCCTCAGACCTGGACCTGCTAGCTCCAGCCCCACCTGCCGAGGAGGCCCTTCCTTTGCCCCCACCACCGGCTCCTCCCTTGCCCCCGCCTCCTCCCCCTTTACCAGGTAAGTAACCAAGATCTCTAGGCCCAGCAGGGCAGCCACATTGTGGGGCCAAAACCCTAGTCAGCAGTGTCTTCTTTAGCAGCCAGGAAATGGCATCATTTGAAGGATGGAAGGCTATCAAGTCAAAGTGAGAGAGAGAGAAAGGGCTGATGGGGAGCTACCATCTAAGGAAGCTTGGGTTACTGGTACAGGGGTGGGCCTGTTTCAAGAATCATCAAAATGCTGCTTCAAAGCAGCCAAGGAGAGGCTGGAAAAACTGAGGCAGAGACTAGATTGAACCGCCTCTGACAGGACTCCTGGAAGTGACTTGAGCTAAACTCAAAGCCTCCACAGCCTCCTCTCCTAAGAGTCTGTAAGGACAGGACAGGTGGGCAGAGGAGAGGGCAGCCCAAGAAGTCTCATGACCCGTGGGTCATTGTGCCATTTCTTTTTCCCCTAGGCAAGTGTCCCCCAGCCCCACCTCTCCCTGGAGCTGCTCCCTCTGTGGTATTGACAGTGGGCCTGTCAGGTGAGTGCCTCTAGGACCTTGGACAGGGCTGGTGGAATCAGGGGAATGTGTCCTTGGCTCCATCCTCAATGATACTCCTTCCAAACTAGCCATTCGCATTAAGAAACCTATCAAGACCAAGTTCCGGTTGCCGGTCTTCAACTGGACAGCACTGAAACCCAATCAGATCAGTGGCACTGTCTTCAGTGAACTGGATGATGAGAAGATCTTGGAGGTGACAGGGTCTGGGGCCCAGAAGGGTGGGGCTGAAGACCAGGTTGCCAGACCTCCTAGACTTCTGTCTTCAGGCAGAGTGGGACCAGGGTCAGCTTCATGAACCAGAGCTAGGCTTGTGCTGAGTGTACTGCCAGCAGATCGTTGCGTAGTATGAGGCTGCAGTATTTTCCCTTCTCATCTACTCTTGCCAGGACCTGGATCTGGACAAGTTTGAAGAATTGTTTAAGACGAAAGCTCAGGGCCCTGCCCTTGACCTCATCTGCTCCAAGAATAAGACAGCACAAAAAGCTGCCAGCAAGGTGACCCTGTTGGAAGCCAACCGTGCCAAGAACCTGGCCATCACCCTGCGCAAGGCTGGCCGCTCAGCTGAGGAGATTTGCAGGGCTATTCACACGTGAGGCTCCCACTGACCTGGCTCTGGTCCCCAACCAGTTGGCAACCCAGCTCTCCACCCAGGAACCTGGTTTTTCCTAAATTCCAGGGTTCCTGACAGTTCCTCCACCCCTCCATCATCCACTGTCCTGGCTAGAACTTATTGCATCCATGCTATGTGCCAGAAGCCATGTGAGGTGCTGGAGATGAACCTAGACCTTCACTCAGGGAGCTCCTAGTCTAGTGGGAACAGTGCAGTAACACCAAGTGACACCACCTAGAGGGCAGAAAGAGCAACATGACTGAACTTTGTGATCAGGGAGGGCTTCCCAGAAGAGGTGACATCTCAACTGACATCTAAAGGAAGTGCACACTTTAGTCCAGTTCAGGGCCCAGAGGGAGGAGCTTGGTACCCTGGGTACTAAAAATGGAATCTGGCTTTAATGTAGGGAGGAGAATTTAGGAGGGACAGGGTAGAAAATTGGACAGAAGCCCTGCAGGCCCTGCTCAGGTGTTTGGACTTTATCATAGGTACAGAGGGCAGAAATTGATGGACTTACATTTATTGACTGATTGGCAGTACTGGAGTTTGAATTCAGGGCCTCAGCGCATGCTAGATAAATGCTCTACCACTGAGTTACATCCTGAGTCTCTCCACTCCCTTTTAAAATCTTATTTTGAGTGAGGATTTCACTAAGACCAGGCTGGTCTTGAACTTGTGATCTTCTACATGTGTGCACCATTGTGCCAGTTTGAAGGGCTCTTAAACAGGAGTATGGAAGCTGGGCACACTGGCACACACCTGCAATCCTAGCAATTTGGCAGAGTGAGGCAGGAGGATTGCAAGTTCAAAGCCAACCTCAGCAAATAAGACTCTCAGCAACTTAGCAAGACCCTTGTCTTAAAACTAATTTAAAAAGGACTGAGGATGCAGCTCAGTGGTAAAGTAACCCCTGGGTTCACTCCCCTATAGCAAATAAAAAACAGGAACATGGAATGTTCCCAAGATTTTTGGTGCCACTGTGATGGTGCTCTGCTTTCTAGCTTCGCCTCATGCAGTCCTCACCCCCATTTCTCCTGGAGGAAAGACATATGCAAATGATCCTGTGATCCTCCCTCCTACACAGGTATGACCTACAGACACTACCTGTGGATTTTGTGGAATGCCTGATGCGCTTCCTGCCCACGGAGGCTGAGGTGAAGCTACTGCGGCAATACGAGCGTGAGCGGCAGCCTCTAGAGGAGCTAGCAGCTGAGGACCGCTTCATGTTGCTCTTCAGCAAGGTGGAGCGGCTGACTCAGCGAATGGCTGGCATGGCCTTTCTGGGCAACTTCCAGGACAACCTGCAGATGCTCACACCGGTATAGCCCACATCCAAATAGTTATCCTCTGCTGCTGCTGCTCCATCTCTTTCTATTGAGCACTTCCCCTGCCCTGCTTCTCCTCCTAGCTCTTCCCTGACTTTAACTCCACACCACTACCCCAGCCTGGAGTGACTCAAGTATTCATCTCATTTTCCAGCAACTCAATGCCATAATTGCAGCCTCTGCCTCTGTCAAGTCTTCACAGAAGCTGAAGCAGATGCTGGAGGTGGGAAGAGGGGTGAATGGGGTGTTGGCCCTGGGGGCTATAGAGAGGGAGCCTTAGGGCATGACCTGACCTGCTTCCCACACATCTGCTGAACAGATCATACTTGCATTGGGAAACTACATGAATAGCAGCAAGCGAGGAGCTGTGTATGGCTTCAAGCTCCAGAGCCTAGATCTGGTAAGAAAGTGGTGGGTAGCATGGGCAGGGAGCCTGGGTACAGTGGTGGTGGAGCCTGTTTTTAGCTATCTGGCACTGCCTCTCCCTCCCTTCCAGCTACTGGACACTAAGTCCACTGACCGGAAGATGACTCTGCTGCATTTCATCGCCTTGACAGTGAAGGAGAAATACCCAGACCTAACTAACTTTTGGCATGAGCTGCACTTTGTGGAGAAGGCTGCAGCAGGTGAGGCGAGTTTGCCAGGGTAGGCAGGTCCTTATGTTCAGCCTAGGACAATCCCAGGAAGCTATGAGGAGAGGGAACTCTTGGTCCATTTATTTCTAGTTTTTTGTTAACTTTCTGACCACTTCAAAGCTTTCCGCTAGAGCCATGAGTGCAGGCCATCCCAGGGTGGGCCTTTCTCTCTAGGCATCAGGCCTGGCCTAGCCTTCCCAGTGAGGTACAATAGGAGCAGGAACAGGAAGGGGAGTTGACTCTTTCCTCCCAACTTCCTTAAGTTGGTTCAGAGGCATTTCTCTATGGTGCATGCAGTATTAGAAAAACCATGAAGCCCTCCACAGACATAAAGTAGCTGTTATTTGTGCCAGTTTATGGAAGCTGGGCAAGAAGTCAGCTCCACTTTGGAGACCAGAAACAACTGTAGCTTGCCTCCTTTTGCTACCTTGTTCTCTGGAGTTGCTCTACCTGAGAGAACCCAGCTCTCCGGTGTGCACTTCCTTCTTCATGTCCATACCTGGGTGAGAACCTTAGTGAGCTGTGCCAAGGGACAGGGTGTTTGCTGTAGCTGGGCTGGGCAATGCATATCCCAGGCCATAGGTGGGCCTCAGCAAGGCCTCTGACTACTACAGTGTCCCTGGAGAATGTGCTGCTAGATGTGAAGGAGCTGGGCCGGGGCATGGAGCTGATTCGGCGAGAATGCAGCATTCATGACAATAGTGTCCTTCGGAGCTTCCTCAGCACCAATGAAGGCAAACTGGATAAGCTCCAGCGTGACGCCAAGACAGCAGAGGTGAGCAAGAGATGGAGTGGGCAGGAGCAACCCAGGCTGTCTAGGTAAGCCTAGCTGGTTCTTTTATATAACACAAATGTCAGAGAGAGAGGGGTTTGGGGGTGGCAGACAGCCATCTCTGGAGACATGGGCACTTGGGGCCCTCAAGGACCCSAAATTCTCTCCAATTTACCTTGGCTTGAGTGGTTGATTTTCCTTCCTTTGACCCTGTGCTCTGCTTTCTGTGGGCCTCCTGTTCCTGGGCTTCTTCCTGCCAGGCTGACCCCCTTCTGCCAATCCCTTTCCCCAGGAGGCCTACAATGCAGTTGTGCGCTACTTTGGAGAGAGTCCCAAGACCACACCTCCTTCTGTATTTTTTCCAGTATTTGTCCGATTCATTCGTTCTTACAAGGTAAGCTGAAGAGGGGTTTTTAAAGAGAGGTTTGACAGTGAGAAACTCCTCTTTTAAAAAGGATTGAGCGGGAGAGAGCTCGGGCTTCAAGTCTTGGCTTTTTCAAACTCCTCCTCTGGGTCCTGGGAAGGGAGCAATGGAAGCTGGCGAGAGGCCTCATAGCTGAACTGGTGTGGCAGGGTGGGGGCCCAGGTTCTTCCTGTCATTGTTTGGAGCAGGAAGTGCCCCTCCAGAAGGTGGCCACCTGGGGTTCACTGGTCCCACTGCCACCTACTCTCCACTCTGTGTCAGCTCCTCCCCTCCTAGCCTGTAAGCCTCACTGTCCACCTTGGTTCTCTGTAGGAAGCAGAACAAGAGAATGAAGCCCGCAAGAAGCAGGAGGAGGTAATGCGGGAGAAACAGCTGGCTCAGGAAGCCAAGAAGCTGGATGCCAAGGTGCGTGGGACCAAGAACTGGGGCAAAGAACTGGGGACTGAGGGGGAAGTAGAGCTAGAGAGAAGATGGGAAACTGCAACAGATACATCTGAGGCTAGAAGGATTGAGGCTAGAATCCAGAGGGATGAGGAGCTGGGCTTTGGGAGGGGGATACCCAGTAGCACATAAGCCAGGAGCATCTTGGGACAGGAGCCAGCCCCTTGTCAGATTACTGATGACTTCCTTCCCCTTTCAAATGCTTGGCCATAGACCCCATCCCAGCGGAACAAATGGCAACAGCAGGAGCTAATTGCAGAGTTGAGGCGACGCCAGGCTAAGGAGCACCGACCAGTTTATGAGGGAAAAGATGGTACCATTGAGGACATCATCACAGGTGGGGTCCTTCTGCCCTCCTTTGGGGCCTGGTGTTGGATCCAGATCCCAGAGCCCAACCTATCCAGATCCACCCCTGCCCCACTGCCCACCAATGAGGCCTGACCACTGTGTCTCTTTCCTGGGCCAGTGTTGAAGAGTGTCCCTTTCACGGCTCGTACTGCCAAGCGGGGCTCACGCTTCTTCTGTGATGCAGCCCACCATGATGAGTCAAACTGTTAACCCCCAAGGCTGGGGCCCCTGACAGGTATTGGGCACCACAGCTGCCCCTTCTGCATGCCCACCTCCCTGGACACCTGGTGGAGCCCATAGGCACTCCCTTGCATGCTCTGGAATCATTCCCTAGCTGCCTCTTAGTATGGGAACACATACTTCTTGCATGCCCCACGATGCCAGAAGCATGGCTTATCCTCTGCATTTGCCCACACAGAAGTAGACTCCCTCTCACTAATGCTGTCCTGGCTTCTACTAAGACCCAAGGGCCAGGTGTGGGAGCTGTGCCAGAGTAGGCAGGACCATAGGCTTATTGTTTTGATTGCTGATGCTGAGGTTACATTTCTGGGTCCAGGGCATCTTGGTCCTTCTCTTCTCTACAGTTCCCTCCTCATAAGAGCTCTGGTAGTAGGTGCTGCCCAGGGACAGTTAGATGCCCCCTCATGTCTGCTTCCTGACATTTGAAGGGTCTCTTCCCAGGTTCTGGCTCTGCTTAAGTCTACTTTGTTTCTGCCTAGTGGCCTGTAGTCTCCCCACCTGATTTTTTTCAAAGGACAGAGTCCCAGCATTTTCCCTAGCTGGCCTTAAAGCCTCGCTTCAAATTCCATGGTCCACTTCACGGCTGGTTCCTCTGCTGTGGGTGCTCCTGAAGATGCTGTCCTGCCTAGCTTCCTGCCTGTTGATAAGCTCCTTTGTCTTCCCTATAGGCCTCCAACACCAACCCATTGTTGTTCGCCACCAAGCGCGGAATGCTGCACCACCCAGTGGCCCCCCTCGGGCTCCAGGCCCCCACTGAGACCCTCTTGGAGGCAGAAGCACTTCAGTCCTCAGTCCTGCAAAGTTCCGCCAGTGGACCTGAAGCCAAGGGTCTGGCAGAAGGTTATGCTGCTCTCAGCTGTGCCACCCCAGCACTCGGGCTGGATCTTACCTATGCCATTGTGGGCACTAGGCCTATTACAGACCTGGAACTTCCCTAGTGCCTCCAGTACTGTACTTTGCCCCTGTGGTCTTCAATTTCATTCCTTAAAAGGTCATCAAGGGGTTAGCTCAAAGCTGGGAAAACCCATTTCCAGCTTTACCTTATACAGGGGGCACCTAGGCCCCTCTCCCCTGCTAGAGCCCAGTGAGAAGAGAGGGGAAAAGCTAGTCTCCCTGCTTTTTTCCCCTCTCTCTTCACAGTTCCATGGTCAACACTAGTCTAGCAGTATACAGGCATCCTGGAACCCTGCCAATCTCAGATCATCTCTTATGAGGAGCAAGGAAGGCCCTTTTATGCTTGGACCCACCCAGCTGCACCCTCATGATAAGTGTAGAGGAGTGATGCCAGGCCTACTGTCCTTCTCCTTGGCCCATTCAAGTCACATGCTGTTCTTGCTGCAGTGGCCTGAAGAACAGGGTTGTCTACACCAAGACCTCTAGAGAAAGGGCATGCAAACAACCTCCTCACCTCCTTTTCTCAGCTAGGTGGTTTTTTGGTGGGGGGTAGGAAGCATGGTGGTCTCTGCAGACTATCTGCTCAGTTCCCTGCCAGTTTTGTCTCAGTCCCTGGAAGAGAATCAGGGGCCACCTCTTTTTGTACATGTACCATTTCCCTTCTCTCTTGTACATAAACCCTAGTCCTTCCTTCTCTTAACAAAAGCTTGAAGCACCAGGCTGTCTCCTCTTTCTGAGCTTGGGGGAGCCAGGATGGTTGCTGAATTAAAAAGTCTGGGGAAAGGAGCACAGAAGCTTGCCGGAAGGAGGCTGGGTGGTTTCTGATGACACAAAGGGAAGCAGGCCTGTGTGAGACACTAGTGCCCTCTGCTGGGCATGTGTACACCAATCCAGTTCCCAGCCTGCCCAAGTAGCACATGGAGAGGACAAAAGTCACCAGCCATGTTATAAATATTGTTATTTAAAAAACAAAAACAAAACACACATACGTCAGGTCCCTGGAGAAAGCAGTGGTGAAGCCCCTGGGCAGGCACTGATACTAGAGGGTAAGAACTCAGCCCTATGCCACCCAGGCTGTGTCCACCAGCCTGTCTCTTCCCTGGAGACCCCATTGCTCATACTTGATCTACTGGTATCACCCGCCCCCCCTTCAACATGGCCTGGGGCTGTGGGCAAGGACTGCACTAGTTGTCCGGGAAGTGGGGAACCCTTGAACACCAAGAGCAACCTTGACAGGTGCCAACAGTGGTGTACTGAGGGTGGATTTACTTTAGGAAAAGTGGACACCGAACAGACGAAGGAGTCTGAGGCATACGGTAAGGGTGGTCAAGAAGCCACCACCTCAAGCAGGCCCGAGGCAGAGAGCAGCTTATCAGGTCACTGGTGGTCATCCAGCTGCTGTAGGAGTGTCCGCCGCCGCCTCTCTAGCTCCCCCTCACTCAGCTCGCTTTCTGACGTGTCCCAGCCTGTCTGTTGGAGCAGAGGCATGGCTCACCCAAGCCCCCTGGACAGAGTGCTGCCTGGCTGGGGCCGGGCCCCTGCCTCTGCCTCTCACCTTCTCCTTCTTGACTCCAAAGCCTGGGGAGCGATTAGGGACCTCTGCCTGCCGAAGCTCCCTATCCTTGTCTTGTTCTTGTTCTTTCTCTTCACTCTCCTTGCCAGCTTTCTCCTCGGGGTCTGTCTCACTCTCAGGGCTGTTCTGTAAAAGTCCAGAGCCCAACTCCTCAGCTTCTGTGGACAGCTGGGAGGTAGGTGGAACAGATCCCACAAAATAGCAAGGTCTTAAGCAGAGTTCCTTCTCTACTCACCGACTTATGTCTTCTCTTTTTAGTTTTCTTTTTTGGTTTCTTGGCTTTCCGAAGGCCATGATCTGGAGATAAAAAATTCCTACTAACTCCCATAGGGAAAAAGGAGAGCTCGGTCTCTTCTCTGCCACAGCCCTCTCTGTTCATTCTTTGTAGACCTGGGCCTTGTGGTTTGAGAAAGGTTGAATCTAGTTTTCCTTCCTTCTCCTGGTTTCCTGTCTAGGCAGGAACAGGAAGTTCTTCCCATCCTCACAGGTCAGCCCTCCTAATCCACTCCACCCTCAAGGGTGCTAGAGCTTGCTGAGTTCCTCCTCTTAATAGTCATCCACAGTTCTCCATCTTCCAGCATCTGCTTACCTGATCCAAGAAGAAGGTGGGAGGATGGGGAGCCCCGTCCTCCAAGGGCAACACCCCCACTTTCAACTGAATCAAGTGAGGATGAGGGATCAGAGCCAGACTCTGAGAGGTTTCGCCTCCTCCGCTTGGGGGGCCGGAGGGATGGTGGGGGCAGCTCCTCCTCTTCCGACTCGGAGCCCTGGGCACATAAACAGATATGGGTTAATGCAGAGGTTCTCTGGCCTCTAGAGCTCTTGTCTGTGAATTGGGGATAGAGAAGAGGATCCAGGATTCCAAAAAGAATCCTCAAATCTCCTTCCAATGGAGGTGACATAGGGAAAAACAAAAAGTGTCGAGTACCCCAAAACAATCCAGCCTCACCCCCACATCCCTCTACCTGCCAACTCACAGAGGGTGAGTGGGAACGCTTGTGATGGTGTTTCTTGCCCTTCCTGCCATGCTTTCGGCCTTTGGTGTGGAGGTGCTGGCATTCAGTCTGCTAGAAGCAGAGGGAGAAAGGTGAGGACTATGCCTCCCTGTCTTAGGCTAGGGCCTTTTGCCTATCCCAGGTCTCCCTTAGGCTTCTATATCCTTAGCTGTCCAGGGAAAGGAGAGACCTAGGATAGGATGTGAGGCCACTGAGGTCTCTGAGGAACTGGCCTAGGGAATTCAAGCATTTAACGACAGCTCCAAAGCCTGACTCACCTCCAGCACCTGCAGGAACTCCCGGAAGAGCCGGATCCTTTCCGACTCTAGGGTGATCTGCTCAAAGGCTGAGTCGCACACAAAGCGCTCACGGACCTTGAACGGGGAGAGCACTGCTGATCAGACCAGGCTCCACCCAGCCGGGCTTGAACACCTCCACGAGCATAGGGCAGGGCAGGGGCAGAGGAAGGAAGGGAACTGGAGCCGGCCCAGGGCTGTGCTGTGACTGGGGTGGGCCCTCAGTGGTGGAGAAACTCCGCTGCCCTCAGGCTTGAGGGGTGACTGGGGCCAGGCTGCGCTCCTGACCTCTTCCCACGCAGTGCCCAGCTCCAGAGCAGGCACGGCCTGCCTCAGCATGCTTCGAAAGGCAGCTTCTCTGCGCCGCATCCTTCGTGCTTCCTCCTTTTCCCGCTCCCTCTCCCGTGCCTCTGCTTTCTCCAGCAGCTGAAGACAGAGATGCAGAACAAGGTCACCCAGAAGGGTGAGTGCCCAGGGCCCACTCAGGCATACCTTAAGAGGTAGAAAGTTGGGGTCTGGCCTTCTGTCATGATCCCCTGAACCCAGGACAGTCAGTAGGACAAGAGTGAAAAGGGAAGGAGTAAGACAATGGGATGAGTAAAAAAAAATCCAAGACCCACCCCACCCTGCCCCTCACACTATTGAAGGTCAGCTTGATGTTGCCTGCGTCCAGCGCAGCAGCCCTCTTGTCAAAGCTTATGACGTGGGCGAAGTCTTCAAACGCTGTGTTCACCTCCACGCAGAAGCCCCGGTCCTGTAGGCACAGCAACACATGAAGCAGAGGGCACCACAGGCCTGAGGCCTAAGGCTGACAGGCATAGGAATCAGACCAGAGGATGTTCAAAAAGCCCCTGTCCTTAAGAGGATCCACAACTGTGCCACACTTCAGAAACCACACTGTTTAAGTCATCATCTGACAAGCTCCCATGCCTACCCCTGGTCTGGTTGTCACATGGAGCTAAAGGGCTGGCGATGTCTCTGTTTGCTGAGTGATGCCTAAAGTTCTCACAATTAGCTCTTTGTTCCTTTGGCTTATAGCTCTGGTCCCAGTTAGATCTTCCTATTGCTCAGGGAAGTTTCATGAATTCTCAATCAACATCTGCTGGTCTCTACATTTTGGTTCTAATTATTGAATGCCTATTATGTACCAGATACCCTCTGTGAGTGCTTCACACACATTTAATCCTCCTGGTTATAATTTGGAACAAGTCCTAGTATACTAATTTTACATAGGAGAAATGAGAGCACCTGCTCAAGATCTCATAGGTGAACCTATGGCTGGGAAAGAACATTATCCCAGGTCTTTCTAGCAGAAATGGAGGCCATCAGGTGAGCAACTCTCCAGCAATGTTAGAAACATGCCCCATTTTCTGGCACCATGGCCAGGCTCTGTACTTATCACCATAGCCTCATATCCCAAAGAGACAGAGGCTTAGAATGATTCATTTGGCCCAAGACAACACAAGTGATGTGGAACCACTAGGGCTCAAGTCAGCAGGGACACAGCCATATTCCCTACTCTCACTCTACATCTACACAGCTCTAACTTCCTCTGATCTACCCGCTGAGGGAGGAGGTTTGCTCTTCAAGTACTTCCTCAGCTTACACTTCTCCAACCCTTCTCAAATACATTCACTCTTTCTTAGGGAAGTGAAGGCTTCAATATCATCTGTACTGGCTCCTTCCATCAAGCACACACCTCACTTTACCTGTAACATCCCTTACATCCTGCTCTCACTTCTTCAAGCTAACTACCCTTGCTTTTCTTTAGTTACAAAATTTCTTAAAATGCAGCACAAAGGAAAAGGAATAAACATTGACAGCCTGTTATAGGCAAGACGTTTTACAAATTTTATTTTAATTCTCTTGATCTTGCAAATGGATTATCCCTACTTTACTGAAAAGGAAAAGGAAACTGAAGCTCAGAAGTACTATATAACTTGCAGACGTCTCAGCCAATAAGAGCCAGGAGTTACTTGACTCTGAAACATGTTGTCCCAAAGCCACTGGCTTCATGGTCACACTCTCCCAAGTCACTCATATTGTAATAGTCAAATTCAAGGGTTCCTGTTCAGTCCTCATTCATCTGGTCCTTGGTGCTTCTGCTGTTTACTTCTTCAACACTACCCTCCTTCTTTAGGTCCCTCCTATACCTACCTCTTGTCACCTCTCTTATATGTGTATGATCCTAATAATAGCAGTTTATCCTTTTCTCACTATCTGATTTATACTTTCCCTGACAACCTCATCCTTTACCTCTGCTGATTTTCAGACCCATACTAGACTGTATATTTCACAGACACTTCAAATTCAACAGATCCTAAGATATATGCTCCCTTGGGATATGCTCGCATATGCTCCTCACCTCCAAGCTCTTACTGATCTCCCACAGGCCCAGTCATCTACCTCCAATTATCTACCTGTCCCAAGTCCAGGCCCTGTGTTATCCTACAGATGAGAGGGGCCACCATAGTTCACCTGGCTGTGGATGGCCACAGAAAACTCCTGAGCTCATTTGTCTTCTAAAAGCAGTAGCCCACATGGAGGAACAGGAAGAGGAGCTGTCTAAAACAGTATTTCTCAGGTGCTGTGGAAAGACAGAACTTAGCAAGGGCAGGAGCCCTGCAGAACAATTGTCAGTATCAGCCACTCTATGGCTAAAGTTAACCAGGCAAAAAATTAACTATATCGGGATATTAGTTTATGTAACTATCCTATTCAAAATACAGTATTTGCTTTATTCTTCCTTGCTCCAGGTTGCTTTTGAGAATAATTCCCCTATTGGAATTCCTACTGTAATCCTGCTCTTCCTGCTTATTCCTTACTAATGGTGACATCATTCATGGCCCCATCCCTGCACCTCCTCCTTTTCCCTCAAGTTTATAAAACAACCTGGCAATTCCACTTTTCAGTGACTCAACCGCACTGTTTTTAAACTTTTCAAACAAGAAACTTTTTTTTCAATAAAAATCATATGTAGCATCTCAATGTATTAAAGAGATGCAAGCTCCTCCATTCAAAAACAGAGGAAGAAGTATAGAATCCCCAGATACTAAACCTCCACCCCTTGCTTTTCTCAAGGTGCCTATGGCAGCTCAAGCCCAGCTAGATTCCTACAGCTCATTCTCCTCATGTGCCATCCCCACTGCCTTGCCTGGAGATCACCACCAACCTAGACCCTGAGAAGGCCAGCTGACTGGTCTCCCTGTCTTCATTCCTCCTTCCTTCATTCCTAACCCAGCCTCTGGCATTTAGTACTGCTCTGACTTTGGTACCAAGTAGCCTTGGTATCAGAGAAGAGGCCTGGGGATAAGTCAGAGGATGACTAAAATTTAAAAAGTATCTGAATTACTTGCCACTGTCACTTGAGGTTTCTACCACTGTCTCCACCACTAATATCTCCCCTAGTGACATAAACACTCCAGACTGGGAGGTGCTACCACACACTATCACCAATGGCTTTTCCAAGATGCCATATGATATTACTTACAAGATAAAAATCCAAATTTCTTATTTTAGCATTCAAGACACTTTACATGCAGGGCTTTACTTCCACACAGGGCATATGGTTCCGGAGAAACAGAGGAAGTCACAGGACAATATGATACATCTTACCTAATAGTAACTTAAAAATATTAAATTCATATTAAATAGGAAGGTGATGTGGGATTAAAATGCAGCATGTGCATGAGTTTGTAAGTTAAAATAAAAGACTTCAAAGAAACTTCATAGGGCTGAGGATGTACTCAGTGGTAAAGCACTTACCTAGCATGTGCTAGGTCCTGGGTTCAAGCCCCAGTACCCCCCCCCAAACAAAAAAAGGTGATATGTGCAATGGTACTATCTTATTAACTTTATTCCTAGGTCCTTCTCAAATCAGACACCAAGTTAATCTCACCTGTAATTAGGTGTCCTTTGGTAGAACACTCACCATTTTTTAAATAAGGAAACCAAGGCTCAGAAAGGTTAAATGGCCTAGTCAAGGTCACATATTAGTAAGGGATTAATCTGGACTGTTAGCCCAGTCTGCCTCAGGTTCTGCTTCTTACCACTGGACTGGACTGAACTATCTCCTAAAAATTCACTGGAATGTTCTTCACTTCCAAAGGAAAAATGCTTTCCTTTTTTCTTTTGAAACATTAGAGTCTCTTCACTTTCATAATTACCCATCTTTTCTAACTGTGACAGACATGGGCACTATTTCTTCAGTATAAAGAAAGTGGCAGTGCACATGGGATGGTACATGGCAGCTGACACTCAATGCAGTATTAAGAAGGCAGTAAGGAGTAGTGAGGCAAAGAACAACGTGCCCTTTCTGAGAAGGCAATGGCATCTCAGTCTGATTCCTCAGAATGCCTCACAAAACCAGCCCAGTGCTGCCTGTCTTTTATGTTAAATCTTCCAATTTAAAAATGTTAATAATGAATTCCAAATTTTTCTAAACCACCATGCTGGTCAGAAAGCATATTTCTATAGCCTATTAATTTATAATTATCTATACTTTTTGCTCCTCAAACTCGCCATACACTTTCCACCCACCTGCTTTTTTATGCCTAGGACATTCTGCCCTCCTCTACTCCTTTATAAAAGTGCAGTTCAAATGACAATTCTTCCAATTAATCTCTGTAATAACACCTGCCCCCCTGCATAACTGTTCTCATGTCTATCTTTGTATAATACCATGAGCTCCTATGAGCAGAAATCTTGTCTTATTCATTACTATATCCCAATTCAAGGTAAAGAACCACAGTAGATATCTGCTGAACAAGCTGCTACACTCTTGCAAAATGGGACTCATCAGGGAATCTGTGCAGGGGCTGTGGCTTGCACATAGCCTGTGTTCATCCATAACCTCAGGTTCCCCTCACCTTAAGAATGTCCTTAATGATCTTCTTCTCATCATGAAATCGTGCCTTCAACTCTTCCACATAGAACTTGAACAAGTCCAGAGGGGTAGAGCCTGCAGGGAGGGAGGGAGGGGGGGCCTGGCGGGCGGCAGCTTCCCAAGGCCTGGGGTGGGGTCGAGGACCAGGGAGTGGGAATGCAGAGGCGTCAGGGCAGGAAGCCAGACCAGAGAAGGGGGAGCCTGGCTGCCTTACCCGGCTGGCCCAGCATGTTGGCAAAGCGGACATCAGTGCTGACTGCTGGGTACAGCTCCATCCAGGTGGACATGGAGTGCAGCTGCCCTGTCTCGTGCAGCTCGTCCAGGAAGGTCTAAGCAGGGAGAGGCCAAGGATAGGGAAAGTGAGATAGGGAGAAAGAAAGGGAATGGCAGAGGGAAAGGCAGGGGCAATCCAGAATCAGGAAATCCAGGCAAGGGAGGCAGAGAGGAGATACAGATGTAGAGGAAGAGAACATTACTAAAAGAAGAGAATATAAATATGGAGGGACAGAGCAAAAAATGAAAACAAGCCAGCCTGGGAGGCAGCACCATCTTCCATGGCTTGGTTGCAACTTTCTTTTGTGATCCAATCCAATTAAATCATCCCCATACTGCCACCCATAAGCTGGAGGATAATCTCTACCTGTCTGCTCCCCACCCAAAGGAAATGTACATGGCCTAGCTGCCACACTGCCTGCAGGGTGCTCTCTGCTGGTGGCTTCTGAGAGGTACAAACATCTGGTCTCCCTAGAGGAGCACAGTCCAGAGTTGAAGGGACACAGCAGGGAGCAGAACTGGAAGCAGAGAGAGGTCTTGTGAAGCTTGGACAATAGAGGGACAAAGCAGGCAGCCTAGCCCAAAGCAGGCAGGGCATGGGTAGAAGTTACTGTCTTGGGTAGAGCTGAGCTCTGATCCCCAAGGGCAGCAAAAATACCTGGAAAGCCTCCCGGTTCTTGCGCTGCTGTCGCCGTTCCCGAAGTCGGGCCCGTTCCCGCTCCTCCTCCTCCTCCCTCTCCAAAGCTCGGATGTGCTCTTCAAAGCAGATCAGGGCATCTTCCTTGTCCATGTCTGTAGGTAGGAAGGAGGCTCAGCAGGTGCCATACTAGCAGGATACCCTCTCAGATTCAGTACCCAGTGTCTCATGGTTGATGTTCCTATGGGTACTGGGGACACTCAGGTTAGTGGGGAAAGCAGAGAAAAGGACTCTGTGGGAGTAGCTACTTCAACGGCAGTTCTTGAGGGAGATCATTCATTGCATTAGAAAAAAATCAGCAAGTTTTCAGTCCTGATGTGATTTCTGGTGTGAGTTACTAGAAGCCATCCCATGAAACCCGTTTTCTCAGGATCTGAGGTTTCACATCATAGGGAAGCAAAGTCAATCAGGCTTTGATGTAACTTCCGAAAATAATTTGTCATATCATCAGTGATCACAGGTCAGCAACTGTTTATTGTAGCATCCGTGACCAGTTAATGCCCTGATGCTATGACAATCTAAGACTACAGTCACATAAACTACAAATATGATCATCATCTCCAGGAAAGGGAGGCAGAGAGGAGGAGATACAGATGTAGAGGAAAAGAACACTGATTCCTATATCCCAGAGCTCTTCCTCCAAGAACACACAATGTCCAGGTCAACAGTGAACTCCAGAGGGAGGGAGAGGATATCTAGTGACTTGAGTATTGGAGACTTCTAGAATGAGCAGGAGGTGCAAGGGAGTGGTATGAGGCAAGCTCTGGGGTCCCAAGTCATGTAAAAAGGGGAAGGGTCAAGTGGGAGTGGAGACTCAAGCTTACTTTGCAGCTGATGGTCCTGAGCAAAACTGGGGTTATCCATGAGGTATTGTTGTGCCTGGGACCATGTGGTCTGGAAGTTGACACTACTCATTCCATCCAGGATGCTCTTCAGGGCCTGAATATTTCGGCGCCGGAGCTGCTTGGCCTGTTCCTGGGGAGCCACAGGATCAAGATGAGGCTAGGCAAGCCAGAGCTACCCAAGTGGGCCTGGCAGAGGAGAATTTGGGAAAGGAAGTATCTCAAGAACCCTAGGAGGAGGAATAGACTTTCATGTCCCCAGGTAGGGGAGGAACCAACCTGTCCGATTCCTCCTTGCCCTCCCAGACCCAAGACTACAGGCTCAGGGCAGAAATGGAGGGACCTATAAGTGTCACATCAGCTTCCAAGTCAGGAGCTGGGACATTGGGGAGTAGAGAAATAAATGGCCAGAGTCCATAAAAGAGCAAAGATAAGGAAGGTCCAAGATATTATTTGGTCTGAAGGATCTGGTCCAATGACCATTTACCTTTTCTTTCTTGGCCAGGAAGAAGAGGACATCATCATAAACCTCTTTTCGATCCCTCTCAGGGACCACAGCCCAGACCTCCAGTTCCCCAAAGGTCTGTTCTGCCCGCCTGTGGAGCACATGGGCTGTGAGTAGGCAGAGAGCAGATCACTGAGCCTCTGTGTTCTCCGGGTTCCCAAGTCCCAGCCCAGCCCGGCCCCCTAACCGGTAGCGGGTGGTGGAGGTCATGCGTTCATGCTGTTCCAGGAAATGCTGTAGGGTCTGCTTGGCCTCCTTGGCCCTTAGCCGGGCCTCTTCCTTCTCCTCCTTCTCCCGCTGTGCCTTGTAAGCATTGAATGCCTGCTTTTTCTCACTTAGTTTGGGCAAGGCACTAGGGTACAAATGGCAAGAATGGAGTGGAAACAAAAGAGTCTGCTTGAACCATCCTCTGAAGCCCATAAAGTAGGATCACAGGACACTGGGGGTCTCCACAAGCTGAATGGGGGGCAGGGCATGTAAGGGCTCAGCCTACAGATGTGTGGGATATGGGCAGGAGAGAAGTAATAAGGGGAAGAGACACAACCCCTAGATACTGCTAACACTAGGCACTTTTGCTTTGGTGTTCTCAAGTTGCTATCAGACCTCTGCCCTACTCAGGTCTTTCTTTCCCCAATTAATTCAATTCGATTCAATTTAATCCAATAAGCATTTATTGAATGTCTCATGTCAGATACCGTTCCATTTTCTTGTCCTAGCTTTTCCTCCCCTTGCTCTCCAATCTGGTCTGTCACTTTCTTAACTCCAGACCCCTTGAGCCTGATCTTGAGTTGGGGCTTCTCAGAGAATTCCTGGTCTGGCTGCTCTCATGAACATGGCCTGGCTCCCTCTGCCCAGGCCTACCTGTAACGGGGATCTGTGACTACCATCTTCATGGCCTGTTCCCATGAGGCATTGGAGGGGACAGCCTGGAATAGAGTAAGTAGGGGTCATGGGGCCTGCCCACCTCCAGATTCCTCCTTCCAGGTCTTCCTCCAGGAGCCCCACCCTCAGCACCTTGTCCCTCAGCAGTTCCTTGAATGCCTGCTTTGCCTTCTCTCGGTTGCTCCAACTGAGGCCAGACCTCTCTGGTTCTGGCTTGGATTCTTCCTCCTCTTGCTGTGTTAGCTGATGCTGTCCAGCAGAACTAGGGGGCAGAGGGGACTCAGCCACAGGGTACCCAGCCCTCACTGCTTTCAGTGTGCTGTACTCTCAGCAACATTTTACCCTCCTTGCTTCCCATAGTAGCCACTTTCTTCCCTTCAGAGGTCATTGCCCAGATCTTTATACCCCTCCCAAGAGGCCTGGCAGAGAATGAAGAATGAACCAGGATAAAAGCCTGAGGCTAACATCTGGAATGCTGTTGGGGGCAGCCCTCACCTGCTGGGGCCCTCCTCTGGCTGCTGCAGAAACCCCTGCTCCAGGGGCTGGGCAGCCTCCGACACATCACAATCTTCACTCCCACCTGGCTCAGGTTCCAGGAGGCCCTTGGGCATTGGAGTGGGGCCAGGAGGTGCAGGTGGGGGGTCAGGCTGAGGCTGAGGTGGCTGTGGCTGTAGTGTCTGCGGCTGTTGCATTTTTCTGTAGATAAGCCAAAAGAGTGGTGTTGGAGCAGAGCAGGGATAGAGAAGGGCAGGTGCTTGCTGGCGTCTTTACTCCGGGAAGGACTGGGGCCAGAGCAAATGACCTCACAAGGAGACTAAGAGCTGATTCCTCTCACAGAGTAGGGATACTGCAGAATTCATTCCCACCCCCCAAGTATGAATGGATAGGTGGGTGAGTCACTCACCCTGCAGCCTCTTGTTTGACTAGAGCTGCAATGGGAAAAGAACACAGTCAGAGTAGCAAAGGACCCCCACCACCTTGCCCAGACCTCCCCTTCCTCCCAGGACCCCTCACCCTCCAGGTCATCCAGGTCCTTGGGCCGGGTCCAGCAGGACTCCTGACTCTGGTTATTATAGTAGTAAGGTTTGCCTGTGTCTGACTTGTACTCTTTCCAGGGACACTGAGACAGCAGCAGCTGCAAGAGGATGGGTCAGAGGATATCAGTAGGCTGGGGAGCTCTCTGGTCACAAGGGAGCTAATAAGACCCAGTGAATAGAGGTAGTCTTGAGCTACCATCTAACCTGGCTCAAATGGGGGAACATGGACTTCCTAAGATCCTAGGGAGGTATTTCTAGGGAGCATGGGGGTGGGCCAGGCAGCTTGGGACCTCTAATTATAATTAGTCAGAGATTCAGGGGAAGGACTTGGAAGGGTCAGCGCAGCTGAAAGGAAGGGCCAGAAAGCCCCACTCAGGACCTCCGCCTTGGACTTGAGCACGCTGGGCTTCTCCCACACGGACTGCTTGTCGTCAGCATTGTAGTAGTAGATGCGCCCATCAGGGGCCACATGCTCACTCCATAGGGCCCTCTGGGAGGAGGGGGGCACAGAATGGTGGTCAAGGCTCCTTTCCCAAAGCCTCTTCTTCTCACCCCAAAGATTTAAATACCAACCTCCCATTTTCAGCTTTCCTACCCAGAGACTCAAGCTAGAAACTCACCGGAGGGCCTGTCCCAGCCACAGCAGCTAGAAAAGAAGCCAAAGGAAATGTACTAAGTTTTTGTTTAAACCCCCATCTTATCCCCACTTAGTCCTCCCTTATTCCATCCCCAGTAAATATCTCCCTGGTCCCATCAACATCCCAGGCTCCCTGGCATCCCAACAGGCATGATCCAGGGTGGGTTCCAGTCCATGGTCCCCTCTCCCCTGTACCCCCCAACCTCCGAGCCTGGGGGGAGCAGGCCCCCAGAAGACTCACAGCTGGCGGTGTCCGCACCCGGAGCCGTCTGCCGAAGAAAGAGGAGGGGGAAGGGTTGGGGCCAAGCCCAGTGGCCCCCAGGACCCAGGCCATGGGGGATGGAGAAGCAGGCCAGGCCAGGATCTGTGTGTCCTGCTCCCAGGGATCTCTCCTCCCTAACAGATCCCCTCCCTCCTGCCAGGGATATGGCTCTCAGATCCCAAGGGGAATTGCACAACAGCTCCTTTCTTCATTGTCCTCAAGTCAGAGTATTTTGAGTCAACTTCAACTCCTAAGGCCCATCTCTTCAAAGTGGATGCCAAATTCTATATCCCACTCAGACTCTACTATACTGAGCACAAGAAGGTTTAGCGAGATCCCTGGATGCCACTGCCTCCTCCAGAAGCAAAGAACATGTGAAGAAAGGACTGTATTAGTGTGTCCACAGTGCATGGCCATGTGATGGAAAGAAGTGTCTGGTATGAGTGTGCTCCTGAAAGGTGCTGTGTGTGCACGGAGATAACAAAGAATATATATGCCTTTGGGGACGATCAGGAAACTAAAATTGCTGAGTACGCAGTTGGGGAGGAAGATTCCAGCATGGGGAATGCTGCTGGGGACCAGGGTGGATATAAGAAGAGGGAAAGAAGTGGAGTCCACGCCCTTGTACTCCAAGTCAGACCCACAGAATTGCAGGGTACAGCCTGCTTCTTGCCAGCCCCTAGAGCTTACCGCGGCAGTGACAGGCACTGCTGGCATCAGCATTCCTGGCATCATCGGAGGTACCATTCCTGGTATCTATGGATATAAAACCAGCCACTGAGGTTAGGTCAGGTGGATAGCGTCCCTTTCAGTTGGGGGTCCTAACAGATCCCACTGGGGTGGCCCAGGCAATCCTCAGGTTCTGGGTTTTCACTTTTCCTAAGAGTTGTCTCAGTCATTCAGCAGACAAATCCACATGGGCCTGGATCAAAGATCATTTCTCTTCCCAGTTTCTGAACTCTGAGTACCTCTCATTTCCACCCCCAATTAAACAAACAAGGTTTCCTGAGGCCCTCTGGAGGGAGACAATTACCTGTGTGAGTGGTGGTGGTGCCCCCATTGGTGGAAGCATTGGGGGCAAGATGCCAGGTGGCATGGGGGGGATGGCTGGTGGTCTCTGACTCATGGGTGGGAGCCCCATCGGAGGAAAGGGTGGGGGGATCCCTGGAGGGGGCATCTGGAAGTGAGGAAAGGAAGAAATATTGAACAGAGGAACACTGCCTTGCTAGGGACAGAGAAGACCCGTCAGGAAGCATCCACCTGTTGTCCACCCAGCCCTCCACCCTGGCTTGGAGGTATTCCAAGGCTTTCATTTGAGAAGCACAAGGCATGAAACTGCCTCCCTCCTCACCACTGAGAAAGACAGGTAACTGGGGAGTTCTCTGGGTTTAACAGGTAAGCACACAGCTTCCTAAGAGGCAGGAAAAGGAAAGGGAACTGAAACAGCACCAGACTGGGGGAAGGCTATAACCCTTCAGCACTGTTCCCCAAGAAGCCTCTCATGTTAAGGGCGGAAGGCAGCCATCCCCAGTTCTTCTGCCTCCTCTTTTTCTCTGACTCTACCAATGCAATTCCAGCCCAAATTCTGTGGCTTTTTAAAAAAGAGCACAGGTAAGGAGTAGTGAAAGAGAAAGACAGACCCATCCTGCGCTCACTCTAACGGAGTCTTTTCTCTTCCACTTCTACTTCCATCCCCAGTGTGTCCCAGGGACAAAAGGACAAAGGGGGAACTGTCACCTTTTCGGACTAGAGCTTAACAGTAGCTCTCCCCACCCCAATGCCCAGACAAAACCACCCCTCTTCCAAGGGCAGCAAAAAGGTGCATTACAGGAGAACCGTGCTGGCGATGCAGCAGTGGCAAGGGCTGGGGAGTTGAGGGTGCAGGCTGGAAAAGCCAAGCCCAGGGAAACACATAAAACTTACGAAGGGTGGTGGCATCATGGGGGGCCCCGGTGGGAAGGGGGCAGGCGCTGCTGGGGGCCGGGGACCAGAATCGGGAACCGACTGTTGAGGGAGAGAAAAGTCATAGGACCCAGGATGGGCAGAGAGATGGGCTTTTGCGGAAGGGAAGCAGAAAGGGTAAAGTTGAAAAAGGAACACAAAGTTCAGATGGGGTCTCCAAGCCCAAATTCCTACCCACCCCAAGTTCTGAGTCCTGGGAAGATCTGTTCTTTCCATGCCAGTCTAGAGCCAGCTGGCTGAGACCTTCAATGTCATCTTTATTTTGGGAGTTTCCATTTTGCCAAAGCCACAGAAAAGAGAGAAGACTCCACTATAGGCATCCAGCTTTTCCCATGGCTTTTAACCATTTTCCTGCCAGTGGCTAGGCCTTTCTCAAAGCAGCGGCCTCTTTTTCTATTCCTCTACTTCCATTAACCCAGTTAGAGAGTCAATCCAAAGTTCTCTAAACACAAACAGTTGTCAGCCTTTTACAGTTCTAGTCTCACACACCTCTTTTCACTCCAGCTTCCTCCCCTAACTAACCTCATCTTCAGTCTTCTGCTTTGGGTATCTTTCAATTCCAATCAATAACTTCATCTCTTTGTACCATCCCCATACCCTGATAGACACCCTTCTTTTATAAATCCTGAACTCATCTCACTGCGGATAAAGTCTATGAACAGCCTAAATCTCCCTGTTCTACACCTAATGGCAAACCACATCCCACCCTTTAGTTCTCGGCTTAAATATCATTATTCCAAGAAGGCTTCCTGACTATATTTAAAGACATTCCTTCCAATTTATTCTGATCCCCCCTTTTTTAGTATCCTTGATTTTTTTACTATGTTTGCTGGCATAGGTATTTCCCCCACTAGAGAGTAATAACATTCCATGAGGGCGGGATCACATCTGATTTGTTGAAAGCTGGGATTCCTAGTAGCCAACACAGTGTCTGGCACATAATATGTACTCGATAAATACTGAATGAAAGAACAAATAATACAACAAATCTTCTCTATACAGAACCTTAATATTCTAAAAAGACATCCTATACTTAAAGCTGCACATGGCCAAAATAATATGTGCACATGATTTTCATTTCAGTATCAGTCATAAAAATAGAAAATCATAATCAGTCTAAATATCCAACAGTAATGAACCAAGAAACCAAACACAATGTAAAATGGAATACTATGCAGTTATAAAGAACCCACTCAACTGTCTCCTTACAGACCAATCTCTAAGATGTATTACAAGTGGAAAAAGGAAAGGTACACTAAAGTTTTATCATTTGTATATAATAAAGGGTGACACATAAGACAATGGTGGAAGATGGAAAGAGGTGGAAGGAAGACTTCAACGTATGCCTTTTTGTATTTAAAAAAAATTTTTTAATTGTAGTTGGACRTAATACCTTTATTTTATTTATTTACTTTTATGGGGTGCTAAAGATTGAACCCAGGGCCTTACACATACTAGGTGAGCACTCTACTAGCCACAACCCCAGCCTGCTTTTTGTACTTTTTGAATATGCAATCATAGGACTATATGACCCATTCAAAACATTTTTGAGTGAATTAAGGTTTGGAGGTACAGCTAAAAGGCCTATCTTCCTTCCTCTCCACTTGAAAGTTGGAGAGCTCTAGGGAAAGGTGGTAGTTGGATAAACAGAAGCAACCTCACCACTACCTATGCTAAAAGGCTCACATTTAAAATGCTTTCTAGGGCTGGGGTTGTGGCTAAGTGGCAGAGCACTTGCCTCACACATGTGAGGCACTGGGCTTGATCCTCAATACCACATAAAAAAATAAAAACATTATGTCCACCTATAACTAAAAAATATTTTTTAAAAATGCTTTCTGATCTCTTCCTTTAGCAAATATCTATCCTTTACCATGTCCTAAGAAGAGAATGAAATGAGCTAACCTACTCCAGTCTGACTTACCTTTTCTGTGTTCAGCTACTTTAGCCCTGTATTTACCTCTTCAAACTTTCCTCAGCATGGATGTCAGAAACTATCCAACATGGGAAGCAATTTGATTTTCTGTATCTCTTTCCCACCTCAAGCTGCCTTAGGAACCTAACCTTCCAGATAACATTTTTAGTTCTCAACCCAGCTCAGGGCCTGTGAGGTTATAAGAGGTCTATTGACAATCACACTGTCAGCCTCATCCATGTCCAGGTCTGTGCTCACCACACTCAACCATATTTACTTCTTAGTTCGCCCACCTCAGGGATCTTACCTATAGCTGGGACAACACTACCAACTTACCTAGATACACTTCACACTGTGCCATCCCCTTGATAGCCATTTCCTGGGAAAGCCTTTACTAACCTACTATACTAATCAGAGCCCTTATTTATATACTCATTGAATACCATATGCTTTCCCTTTAGCAACTGTCCATTGGAAATTTAGTTATTTGGGCAATTTTGATGGTACTAGTATCTATGTGACACTAATAAAAAGAAATGCTGCCTATTATGATAACCCATTGACTTTCAGACACATCATGACTTCAGAAATATTGAGTCTTAGAATCAATGAAATATGCTAAGTGCACATCAATCCCATTAACTTGGGAAGGTGAAACAGTAGGATCAAAAGTTCTAGGGCGGCCTCACCAACTTAGTGAGGTCTTAAGCAACTTAGCAAGAACCTGTCTCAAAATTTAAAAAAAAAAAAAAAGAAATTAATGAGATATAATGTCTGTAGTCCCCACCCCAAACTCTGAGGGACAGGGGTAGGTGCTAATATTAATTGGCTTAACAACTGAATGGTCTTTCCACCAAATAGCAGGGATCATTGGTAAGGCCTAGGAGTTACTGAGGGAACACAAGAATGTCAGAGGTGGAAGGGACTTCAGCAGAGAGGACTACCTTGAGTCATATGAAAAAGAAAAGGGAGAGTAATATCCAAGGTCCCATGACTAATTAGGGAGAACCAGGACTGCCCTCTAGCCTGTCTTCCTTAAAAGCACAGCTCCTGCCATAGAAAGCATCTGTTTTTCACACTAATCTCCCCTGCAAACTAAGTGGTTAAATCAGCAAGGAGCCAAGATTTTTTTTTTTTTTTTTTTGCTTTCTCTTAGAGTGGTTTCTTATAATTTAATCTACAAAATCTCTAACATTCAAAACCTTTCAATAGGGGCTGGGGCTGTGGCTCAGTGGTAGAGCGCTCACCTGGCACCACATACAAAGTAAACAAAAAAAAGACATTGTCTCCACCTACAAGTAAAATAAATAAATAGATAGATAAATAAATGTGTGTGTGTAAATAAATGTGTGTGTGTGTGTGTGTGTGTGTATCTCAAACCTTTCAGTAAAGCCCATCTCATCCCATACCCTTGGCTCATCCTGACTCAATGGCTTTCCTCCTCTTCACATAGGAACTGTTAGATTACTTTCATGTATTTTTTAAAATTCTGTTTTGTCTATTGCTTTGTTCAAGATGATTCAATATTCACCTCCTTCAGGTTCCCTTTATACTATCCCCCACACATACACACATTCCTACCTGTGTGTATCCCTCTGGGATAAATGCTACACTTTGTAGCAGTGACATGCTGCTCTGTGAATGTTTGCTGAGTAATGTGGGACGAGCTCACTCCTCACTCAAATGGGGATTTCCCTACATTTAGGAATCAAGTTTTCTCCTTTTAAACATTCCTTGAATGCCTAACCCTTGCGCTGTACACAAAGTGTTGTGATAAAATTTAGTCTCATCCCTAACTTTATTAGATTTTTGCATACATAAAAGTGTGCTGCAATTGTGTCCAGGTATGTTTGTATAAATTCCCAGTACATTCTTTGTTGTGAGAGAGAGAGAGAAGTATCTTGGCAGAAGTCTCTCTGGCTTAAGAAAAGCAAACTGGAATCAAGTACTGGCATGGGAAAATMTAAATAATAAAAATTGACTGTATATGATCACCTTCATCTTAAGATGAATAACCGTGGCAAGAATTCATACACTGGCCTATTTTGGTCAGTTCCCTGCAGAGGATAGAACAAGGGAATGCATATAAATTACTATGGAATTCCCAAAGCTCACCCTTCCCAGAGATTCCCCTGTGCTATGCATGTCCTTTCTTTCCTTAAACACCTGTCCCTCTTCCACTTGCTGCAATGGCAGCACAATTGTGGATCTGCTTGCATTTCTAGGTGAGACTATGAAAAAGATATTAGTTTAAGAGTTTTAAGAATGGGAGCTGAAAGAAGCAGATCCTGCATCTTCCCTGGAATAAAAACATACTTAGGGGCTGGGAAGAGATAATAAAGAAACACATGATCAAGATGAAGGACCCCTTCCTTGGATATGCCCCCAACAAGATTTATCAATTATTCTCAGCATTCATATTTGAGGGTATTCTTAGAACTGAGCACTCAGGAAAAAGAACAAAAAGAGAAAATGACAAAAATGAAGAGACAGAGAGAATGGAAAATGGGAATAACAACCATTAGCAGATAATCTTTACTGAGCACTATTATGGGCCAGATACTATGCCAAACACTCCATTTAATCCTCACAAGAGGTTTTTATGCCCATTTTATATGTAAAAAAGTGAGGTTCAGAGAGATTAAATTACTTACTTGACCAAGGTTTCAAGAGATTAAATGGCAGAGGCAGGTTTGGAATCCAAGCAGTCTGATTCCAAAGCCTGTGCTTTCAACCACTCCACAAAGCTGCCTCCCAGCAAGGAGGAGGGCACTACAGATGGTACTTCTCATTCTCAGATTCAATCCCCTGTTTTCATATCACCCCAATCTTCATACACTCCTGAAATCCTCAGAGAACCAAGGGATCCCAAGGTCCGCCTGGTCTGACTCATTCTCCCTCCCTGGAGGTGTTGGAAAAATGAAGACTGGAAGGCACATCTCTCAGAAAGAGGAGGCAGTCATCAAATAGAAACAGCCGAGGGCTCGGGCTGTAGCTCAGTGGTTTAGCATCTGCCTAACATGAATAGCCTTGGATTGGAACCCCAGCATTGTGTGGTGGCAAGGAGAGAAAAAGAAATAGCTAGAGACCAACTGATTACCCTGAAGTTTATCTACCTGCTATCCTTCTTTAGCCACCCCCATAGAGCATTAACCTTTCCATTCCTGATCCAAGACATTCCCACTCGGCACTCCTGTACTAGCTCTACTGTTCCTCCTACTCTCCAAAGAGCCTGGGGGGCCTTTCTAGAAAATGTATTCCCTGGCTTCTTTGACTCCCTCATCACCTCCTCACTCTCCCTCTTTAGAATAGAATGTTACATCTGGTCCTGGTCTTTCTAGAGTCAGGGTTCAACCTCCTCCCATTCCTCCAACAGAATTCCAGAGGCCCTGGCTAGCGGGCTGAGCCTTGGAGGCTTTATGTCTCTCCTCCCCCACATCCCTGGGGATTTTCTCCAGCCTAGCTGAAGGCCTTGCCTCCTTCATGCTTCCTCACGTACTAGAACCCATTGGCCTTAATTTCATCCTCAAAAACTGCCCGATTTCGGAGCTGAAAGAGATCTGGGATACCATTTTCTTTTTCTTTTTTTTTTTTAATCAATGAGAAATCCGAGGCCTAAAGAAAGGTAGTGACTTGCCCAAGGTCACACAGAGTAGTTACAGTTTGCTGATGGCAGAGCCAGGGCTGGGACCAAGAGGCCTCTGCTCTTCAATCTTTCGGACCACCCAGCACCGCGGTGAGGGCCAGAAGCCCTCCTTACCTCAGGAGACAAGGCTTTGCAAATGCGGGGAAAGGAGGGAGTCCCCTAGCGGTCCTAAGGGGCACCCAGGGCTTCCAAAGGGAACAACCACTGGGACTGGGGGAGGGGGAGGGGGCATGCCAAATAGCCCAGGAAAAGAAACTGTGGTCACTACCTCTCCCCTTGTCCTGTGGTCTCCTCATCTCTCACCCTCTCTTTTCTTTCTCAACCTTTCTACCCAAACCCATCCTTCACTTATTTCCTCCCAACCCTCACCCAGTCGCGCAACTCTCGTCCGCCTCAGCACCCGGCCGCACGCCCCCCCGCCATGCTTCATCATGGCCTCCCCCGCCCCTTCTCCCCCAAATCCCCGCCTCCATCCCCTTCCTGGGCTCCTACCTCACCCCTTGCTCCCCTCGTATTCCCTTGGGGTCCTGGGGACCCCGGTTGACCTCCCCGCCCCCCAGGCCACGGCCCGGGCCGCAGGGGGCGCTGTGGGACCGCCCCGGGCCCCTCCACCCCCGCGCGGGGACGTTACCATGCCAGAGCCTCCGAGCAGCTGGGCCGGCTCGGCCCACCCGCCAGTAAAAGCCGCTCTGATTGGCCGGGCCGTAGCCGGGAGGGCGGGGCCAGTCGGGGGTC